GTTTCGTCGACAGTTGTTTCTTCAGTTGAATCGTCGACGTATCCCGAATCGTCGGTTGTTTCGTCGACAGTTGTTTCTTCAGTTTCATCGTCGACGTATCCCGAATCGTCGGTTGTTTCGTCGACGGTTGTTTCTTCAGTTGAATCTTCGACATATCCCGAATCGTCGGTTGTTTCATCGACAGTTGTTTCTTCGGTTGTTTCATCGACGGTTGTCTCTTCAGTTGAATCATCTTCTTCAGTTTCATCGTCGACGTATCCCGAATCGTCGGTTGTTTCATCGACAGTTGTTTCTTCAGTTGAATCATCTTCTTCAGTTTCATCGTCGACGTATCCCGAATCGTCGGTTGTTTCATCGACAGTTGTTTCTTCGGTTGTTTCATCGACAGTTGTTTCTTCAGTTGAATCGTCGACGTATCCCGAATCGTCGGTTGTTTCATCGTCGGTTGTCTCTTCAGTTTCATCGTCGACGTATCCCGAATCGTCGGTTGTTTCGTCGACAGTTGTTTCTTCAGTTGAATCCTTCTCTGCTTCTGGGTCTTTGAGCTTTTCGTCATCTTATGATTCGGTGTCCCAATTGTCATCCTCAATTGTTTTCTCGCTGCGTTCAAAGTCTGGGTTCTCTACGATTACTGTTACGCCCGTTGTGCCTTCAGCCTCTACTGGCAGTCAATTTTTAAAACTCACTCGGAGTAGTTCTTCTAGTGCTTTAGATTCGAGTTCCAAATCCAGTCACTCTGGAAATATGACGCCTGTGACCAGCGATGTATGCACCGATGGATGCTCGGTCACGTCTAAGGCGCTGATGACAGGCTCTGATATCTCGGTGATGAGCGCTGTCCGTTCGGGCAAAGTGACCTCTTCAGCTGTGCCAGGTGGTGGGGATTCGGCCGCAATGTCAGAGATCACTACCCGCACTGATCTGTTTGGGCCGATTGCACCCGGAAGTTCTTTACCTGAAAGACCAAGCGCTGACTCAATGGACTCAGAGCAATCTCCTGTTGCAACCAAGACCGAAACATTTACCCATACTATCCGTTCGACGTTCTGCTTCAAAGGGACATGCTTTACCAGAGTAGCAACTCAGCTGCACACAGAGACTTCGACCGTGAAAGTCACTATGGCCCAAACAGTTTCTTCGACTGAGACTGTTCATGTAACGAAGACGAAACCGCGCAAGGAAAGTGCCTCATTGACGAAATCTGATTCCATGAGCTCTGTTTCTGCCAAGCCTTCTTCCATGTATATCTCGAAAGAGACCGGTTCTGCAAGCTTCATTTCTGTATTGTCTACATCCGCTAGGTCAGCAGCTGTTGATTCAATACTGGCCTCTTCAATTCCATCCCCTACAATCTCTGTTTTGGCAGAATCTGCTCTGGAAAAAATGGTTTCTGAGATGACTGAAATGACCGCTTTCACATTGGCTAATTCTGAGTTGAGTCCATCTCCAGCCTCTGCTTCTGTTTCTGTGGAGTATGGGTCTGAAGTGGCTGTTTCTGGAACGACCGTTTCCGGAATTGCTACTCCTGAAGTGACTTCATCTCCAGCATTTGCCTCTGGGGAGTATGTTTCTGAGGTGAGTGCTTCTGAAATGACTTCATCTCCAGCCTCTGCTTCTGTTTCTGTGGAGTATGTGGAGTATGCTTCTGTGGAGCACTCAGATGTCACTGCTTCAGGGACGACTACTTCCGCAGTGTCCGCTTTCACAAGCTATGTCTCTTCTGAAGCTGCTTCTACCAGCTCGTCTTCCGCTGAGCCAACGAGAATTTCTATTCAGGAAGGAAGTGCCTCCAAATCTGTGGTTCTGTTCATCTTGCTTGTTCCATTTTTCGTGATGGTTATCTAGCCTAGCTGCTCAGATTTTCGAGATGCTCATTTGAGTCCATCTGCCCATGATTTCGCTAAGTTCCTTACTCAACTGTACCGTTTTGAACTTTCAATACATTTTTATTATTTTCACTAGCTTTGTAAGATCCCTGGTATAGCTCAACACTGAGGGTCCTTGTAAGTGCATTCATGGCTATGCACTTTATTTGTTGTGAGTTCGTCGGAGATCATTTTGAACAACTAATAGAATATTCTCTCGAGTTAGGGGGTTCATTTCACGTGGCCTCTAGATGAGGTATATAAAGGGGGATAGAGCTCTTGTGGGTTTCAGGGAAACCAGTGATTAAATAGTAATACACAACCCTTATGTCCCGTGAAGTCCCCAACATGGAAGTCATACCCGAATCCGAACCGGGGTTGTTCGGATCAAAACCGAAAGTGGTAGCGACTAATCATCTTGATATTGGCATCAGCTTGGGTCTGCATTTCTGCCATGTATCCAAAAGATAGCTATAGAATCGCGGAACACCGGCAGAGACGCAATGCCCGTGTCTCCGTTGACTAAGTCAAGTGACACGACGTAAAAGTATTAGCAGCCTATGAAGCTAGAACATTTTTTTGAAGTTATCTCTTTAACTTAAGATGCCTTGTTTTTCTCTGAATTCTAAGCCTTTAATGGCCACATATATAATGGGGTTGTGTATGTAGTTTTGAGTTAAGAAATCTTGGTTTGTGTTGCTCCGATAGAAAAGGCCCGATCCAAGAAGAAAACAATACACACGCGGCGTTCTTACGACATATGCATTTAAGTAACAATAATTTTTCCCACGGATCAAGAACTGACTTTTAAATATTTTATTAGCTGGTATGACTTACTTCAGGGGGGACCTAGTGTGAAACAGAACTTATGAAACTCACTCGACAGTTATACATCTTGTAAACCATTAGATCTTAAAAGCCCACACATTGAGGAGCATTTATCTGGTTTTTTGAACAAAGACTTTCGAGAGTACATTGCACGTGGACTGACTAGATGATGCCTGTTATGGTCAGAACCTTGATGGCGGCAAAAAGTGTTTTCGCAAGAAGTTTGGGTCACGTGCTCTGTGATTCGAGGTTACCGAGATAAATATTCGTATCAGATCCACGAGATGATTCCAGAGAATGATCCCATATGTATGTAAGTGTATTTTGTCACTTTCAATGAGCCTCTCCAGAAATTGCCAAAACCAAAATTTTGCGTCAAACGACTACGTCCTTCTTTTATGAAGAAGATTGGCAACCTCCTATATGCCAAACAATTCTACTTCACACATCACGTGATGAAGTGGCTAGGATTCAGGATCACGTTTAGCACCGAATCGTTTTATCACTTAGTTCAATCGATGAAGCTTTATTTTTGGCTTGAAGTGTTGCTTCAAGAAATAATTATCAAGGGTAGAGAGATTCTTCCCAGCGAGATCTCTCTTGTTACCAACAAAGTTTTAAAAAAGTTTTCATTATTTCAAAGAATTGCGTTAATACAGGATTGACATAAGTGCTATCTTGAGGCAGTGTGGTTACACAACTGAATGGATTTAATATATTATAGAAAATGGCTTCATGAATTTTTGATCTGGGATAACTTGAAGCAATTCACTTCCACGAAGATCTTTGTTATGAATGATACTAAGCACCATTTTCTGGATGTGTTACTATCATTGGCCCATCCAATCAGAATTATCAAAAACCCGAGATTTTTTCGAAAGAATTGGCAAATTCGAAAGAAACTTGGAGAGTTGTCCTGAGCTAAAAGTTCATTGTTTAGTCAGCTAAACTCATGCAATTATATGATGACAGAGGAATTCTTTTTATACATTCATGTAATTAAAAAAAAAAACCAATGTTTTGGAATATTATTTGCGATCACTTTCCAAAAGTTCCTTTATACGTACCTAGTATCCAAACTCGGCCCTTGACCGTCCTCTTGGTCCGCATCGTTTCACATTTGGATATAAAGTCATCCATTCCTAGAATAAGTCTCCCATAGTTGATTAAATGAAGCGCATCTTTCTTTTTATTTTAAGGAAACATCATATCATTGGGTGGACAGATGTGTAGCCACACTACTAACAAAAAATTATATGAAGAAAAAACCCATGATATATCGCAACATTGGCTTAGATAAACAGGCGCGAGCTCCAATTCATGAAATCTCCCAAAAAGGATGTGATTCTCGTCGAAAAGACTCCTGTCCATGACCAATGTCAATTACCTGAGTAAAGTTAACTAAAAGCCATCGTCCCGTAGGATATATCGTCTTAAGAGTCCATGACCATAGTTCATTTGATAAGGCGGCAAGACGTACATTTGTCGTTGTCTCCTGGTCCCTAAGTAAAAAAAATCCTGCAAACGACTTAAAAAACCAATTGAGGTTTCTTAGATTGTTAAGGAAACTATTTAAAGAAAGTAGCATTTTTCTCAAGTGCATTGGAGCCTGAAAGCCGATCTGTAAAACCCCACCAAACTTTTCAAATTTCTTCCTGCGTTTCATCGCCTTCAATTCAAAGAGAGTCACAAGGAAACGCTTGGACAAAATATACAGTCACCAGCTCTTAGAACCAGCTTTTTTGCGCTTAAAATCATGCTGTTAACCATCATTTAGGTCTTTGAGTCAATTTTCACGAATCATATGACATCAATTTAACCGTCTGTCTCTGATCATTATTATGAAACAGCCTTGAGCTGTCTCTTAAACTACGAGTAGATCGGTTTATAGATAGTTCAGCCTTAGTGGATAGGCCTAGTCTATCTGTCGTATTCTCGATGTCTAAAAAGTGTTGTCCTTCTTCAGGGATGTCTCAGCCTCACGCTCCTTTATAGTTCGGAACCATTCTATACAGTAGGTGAGGGGTAACCCCGATCAGGAATGTTTAGACTCTTCGTCCTTCGTATTATACAGGATGACGAGAATCTATAATCTTGTTCATGTCGTATCATAACAATCATGGGTTGCGGCCATACCATGGAGAACACACTGTTTCCCGTCCGATCAACGTTAGTTAAGCTCCATAGGGCCACACTGAGTAGTGTAGTGGGAGACCATATGCGAAATTGTGGTGCTGCAATCTTTTTTGGATTTGCTTAATCTCTGGGAAAGGTTGCCATAAGAACTTGAATCTGAAGACTGTAGGATATGATATTTACTAGTAGTATTTTTGAGTCGACCACTTTTAAAACCCAATTTATTTTTGTAATTAATGCGGCATTCACGGATGTGAAGAACTGGATACATGAACAAATGCAGGTCAGTAAGGAAACCCAGGCCGTAAAAAAGCAAAGGGCGGCCCAAGGAATGACAAAAAAAATATTAGGGTACTAGGTTCCCATTAAAAAGTTGATGGAAAGCGTTGGTACAAAATGTTTCTGATTCTTGCTTTTCTTCTATCAGATGTATCTACTTAAAAGAGCTGGCAGATGTTCTTATAAAAATTGTACATATTTTTGTTTCTTTCATCAAATGATTCAAGCTAGAAAAGAAGGCGAAAAATCGTAGAATGAGGTTGGTGTTAATCTTTCGAGCCATCTTCGGTTGCATAACCAAAGCCGTAGACTTGAGATGTCATCCAGCTTACAAAAGACATACCATGCACATTTTGAGACGACTGGTATTATGGCATTTTTGACCCTGGTTTCCTCTTTTGATTTGGCATTTCTGGTGCATGGGAGCTGGTGCTAACCAGGGCTTGAATAAATTAATTAAGCGAGAAAACGGATCTTGAAATTCCTTGTTTTGAAAGCGATTAGTGGCAGACTTTTGAGTCCCGAAGGGGGGGTAAAAAATATTATTTTCTCTAGTATAGTTCCTTGGTCAGCTCTCAGTGGTTCAGACCAGCGACGTGCTGTGGACCATATAAATAAACTTCTACAAAGAAGAATTGAAGCTTACTGAATTCAGGACTTCATACTTTCATGAAGAGTTCAATTCATTAGAAACTTTTGACGTTTCTGGGTACGTTTTCCATGCATGATGTGAAGTCTCACTAACCTAGTCAATATCAGTGGGGCTTCCACACAAAAGCTCCATACTCTTAGTAAATAAAGAAATACTGTTGGACCGTCTTAGCTAAAATCAGCCCGACAGTCATCTGACAAGCCTACAACATAGATGAAAATACTAAACGTAGTTGTTGATAAGGGCAATTAAATAACATGAGCCGGGCTTGCATGAGTCGTCAATCAGTTTGACATCGAAAGTAGCCGGCTCGCTTCTAAAGTACAAACGACAGTGGTTATGGGGTTCTCTTCAACAAGCAATTTTAGACCGTCCCCACTTTTTCTTCCGAGGAAGGCAGATGAGAGTGCATCAATTCTGGGTGCTCTTCATGAGACGTGTCCATTTTCTGTATGAGCTCAGCATCTGTGGCAATTGGCACTGAAGGCTCCCAAGAAGCCGATCTCCAAGCGGGCACGTTTTCTTCCCAGAGTTGACCAATTTCTTCCAATCTCTTACCCTTTGTTTCGGGGAAAAAGAAAAACACGTGAATGAACATGCAAGCACAAAACGTGGCGTAGATGCAGTAGGTTTTCCAGGTGATGTTTCTGAAGGAAGAAGGCGTGAACATGGCAATGGCAAAGTTGAAGATCCAATTTGCGGAAGTGGAAAGGGCGGCTCCTCTTTGTCTAGATTGCGAGTCGCCCCAAACTTCTGAACAGTAGACCCAGATACCAACACCCCAGGAAAACGCAAATGAACACACGAATAAATAGCAGCACGCAATGACACCCTTGGCAGCAGACTTGTGCTCTTCGGGAATCGTGATCCGGACCGTGTCGGAAAGGAAGGCTGGTTCAGAGTAGGTGGCCAAAATTCCGGCCACGCCAAACTGGAACGCCATCATCAACGCAGCTCCAATCAACAAAATGGTACGTCTGCCCAAAAGGTCCAACGTGAACAACGCTGGAACGGTCACCGCCATGTTGAGAATGTACTGGATCAAACTAGGCACCAAGTTGGTGTCGCCGTCGTAGCCGGCCATCTGGAAAATATACACGATGTAGTACATCATGACGTTCATTCCAGTCAACTGCTGCCAGATCTGGGCCGACACCGCAGTGAAGGTTCTCTTTCTGTATTTCTTGCTGAAAAGGTCTGCGTAAGTGAAAGCCTTGGCGTGCTCGTCAAGCAATAATTGCTCCTTGATTTCGGACATTTCGATCTGAACATTAGCATCCTCTCTGTTTCCCTTGGCTTGGATATTGGCCACAATGATTTCCGCATCCTCCCAGTAGCCCTGCTTGGCCAACCATCTGGGCGACTCGGGAATAAAGAAAAGGCCCGTAAGCAAAATAATACCAGGAATCATCTGGACACCCCATGGGATTCTAAACGACGCAAGACCCTGGATATGCGAGCAGCCGTACCCAATCAAGAACATAATGAAAATACCCACTGTGACAGAAAACTGGAAGATACCTCCGATGGTACCTCTAATTTTCCGGGGGGCCATTTCCGATCCATAGACAGGAGCTACCGAGGAACCGAATCCAATACCCCAGCCAGCAATAATACGACCACATATCAACTGTGCCCTGTTTTGTGCGGAGCACTGGATGGCTGCGCCAATGCACCACAAGATTCCACAAATGAACAACGACGCACGTCTGCCAAAAGGCTCGGAAACAAACGTGGAGGTAAGCGAGCCGAAAAACGAGCCCAAACTCATTGAGGCGGTAATGAAACCTTGGATTACCGAGCTGGGCGAGTCAAAATACCGTAAGTATGGGGCCTGGTCCACGAAGACCGACATGGACGAGATGTCAAACCCGAACATCATTCCTGACGTGCATGAGATGGCGGCAATAACATAGATGTTGTGAAGATTGGGGGTCTTGTCAAGGAACTTCCTAAACTTCAACGCTGGAGCTACTAATTTCTCCTCGTAACCCATGATTTAATGAAGGTGATGTGAGAGACGAAAAGACCGTGGGTGAGATCTGAACAAAGACTTTGTTTTTATTTCTAGGGAAAGAAAACTCGGTTTCAGGAGGTGGATTCTACAGGGCTATATATACTCAAATACCAAGGCCAAAACCGGGCCCCGTCAACTGACTGACAATAGTGTCGTTGGGGGGCGTTGACTTGACACGACTCGCCTTCATGCATGCGCGCATTCATCCGGGCGATTTGCATGCTTTACATTTCCTGTTTGGGCAGCTGCATACATGAGCTAGACTTCGCGTGTTTTGTTTTTCCGCGCGAGGGATAACTCTAAAGTTTGAAAATGTTGGGCATTCATATTTTTGTGTCCCGCCACCCGAGCCCAAAACCGTGGTCATTTGCGACTTCCCATGCTTTTCTTTTCTACGTATTGACATGTGAATTTCCAGACGTTGCCAAGAACCACACGGCATTTGGTTGCTTCCGGGTAAGAGAGGGACTCGTGTGCACAGGAATCGTGCTCTTGATTAATCCGGGACGTCGTGCATGTGCGTCTTGAGGCTAGCCAGAGCCAGCTACAGGTTATGAGCATTGGTTATCCCCATGGAGATCCCCGAGCTTTGAGGTCATGGTGCATGACAGCAAGCCAATAGCAAGCGAGCTCGGGGCTTGCGAGCCGAAATCTTAAAAAATCCGGGTGTAAGTAGCCATGACTCTGCGGGGAAGGCGGACCAAAGGATATCATGGTGCCGTATTCGGCACGCACTCCGTACAATAGTTGCTATATTCTTCAAGATTACAAAGGTGGTGGCGTGACACATGTTTCATCTGGTAGATGGACGACAATGACCCGAGTATATTGCTCGATCTATGTTTTGCCCTTTTTGCGCTGACAATGTACGCGCACAGTGAGAATTAGTCTCGCTTCCCGGATTTAATAAAATGTTTGTGTATTCTAGGTCCTACATGTATACTATACAGGCACCCATTGCCGGCCGCGACACCACAATGGCCTCGGCAAGATCGGCCTCGCTAAGGGCTGGGAACCGCCGCTTATAGTATTCGTCCACAAGGGCCTGCCTGAGGCGCTGAAGCCTGTCGGCGGTGGTCACGTGCACCACGCACCCGCCAAACCCGGCGCCCGTGACACGTGACCCGTACGCGCCGTGCGCCCGGCCCACCTCGCAGAGGGCGTCGCATTCTTCCGTGGACGCCATGTTCATGTCGCGCGTCAGCACCTGCGACTCGTCCATCAACGCCCCAACTTTTTGGAGGAATCCCCGGGAGTCACCCGCAAACTGCCTCGCTTCACGAAGTGTTTCGAGTACGCGCATGCTGTCGCTAAAGACGTGGCGTGTGCGGCGGTATATTTGGAGCTTGGCGAAACGCACGGGAAAATGCGACAAGTAGGTGTGCTCGAAATCTGCGCGGCTGGCTGCGCCGGCCTTTGCCACGGCCGCGTCCACGGACAAACCTGCGCGTTTTTCCGCATCACTGTACATTTGGTCCACCACCTGTAGCATTTGCTGAAGCCTGGAAATGCCCACGTCAATGTCCGTGCCGTCCCAAGGCTCCTTGCCGAGCGTTTGCGTGAAGTAGGCGTCAAATGCACCACGCAACGTAGCAGTTCCAATGTTCGAGTCTTTGTCCACAACCAAGCCGAAACGATGCACGATGATGTCGGCTGCGACGGCCACTTCCACCACCCGTAAATTGTAGTTACTAGGCGCCGTCTCGGTTTTGTTGGCAGTTACTAGCGAATTGGAAATGAGAAACACGGTTTCCGGATTGGTGGATGGAAGCGCAAACGGCACGGCTGCAAGGTGCGGCTTGAAAGAAATGAGCATGACTTTCCCAGGCTCGCCGTTGATCGATGCGCTCTGGTCCATGCCGCCGTTACTCAAACCCACGTAGTGCTCGCATACAACGGTGATTTTCGTGAGATCGGCCTTCGATATGCCTGTGACGCCGTTCACTTGGAGCACCGCTAGAGTGGCTGCAATGCAGAAGGCTGCCGATGATGAGAGGCCGCCTCCGGCAGGCACGGTTCCGTCAAAAAGAGCGTAGAAGCCGGCCATGGCGCCGGATGTCTGGATATTTCCTTTCCCAGTGTCGCGCATGTAGTTCCGTGCCACCACAAGTCCGCATTTGAAATAGTCCGCCCACAGAGGCAGGTCCTTATTGATGGGGATGTCTGCATCTGCGGGTTGCGGAAGCCGGATTTCTGTCGTGACGAATTTCGTGTTGGTGTTGGCAATGGTGATTGTCTGTGTTCCTGAAGGTGCAACGGCCGCAATCACATCGACCTCGATGGCCATGGGCAACACGGAAAAATGGCAATAGTCGATGTGCTCGCCAATCAAATTGACCCTGCCGGGGGCCCGGGCGAAAAACAGTGGTGAAACACCGAATGTCTTGGAAAACTTCTGCCTGACAGAGGCGTACCTAGACTCTTGTCCTTTTTGATCGGAGTAGAAACTGACATCCAGGACGGAAGGGACATTCACCATATTGAAGGCTTTTTTTGCAAGGCAAGGAAGAAGTGTGGGTAGCTGGCCCATCGTCTTGATGAAAAAGGAACTAGCCTCAGACGAAGCTCGTAATGGAGCTGGTGCATCCTAAAATATGCAAGCTCCCAGAAACGGCATTCTAGTTGCATCTCATCGGTCGGGTTAACTGCGCTGACCGAGCAGGCGCTTCTGCATGCGCGCTCCACAGACTAGTGCGGGTGTGGATGCGGGGGTGTGGGGCGCGACCAGTATGCAAACCGGTGTATGCAGACGCGGCATCTCTGTTTTTACGAGGGTCTATCGGTTGGCTTTGCTTTGTCTCGGCACCGAAAGATTCTGCATGACCCAGGGTTTCGTGAAGAGAAATCAGTGAGCGTAAGAAACAAAGAATACCTTCGTGGTTTATGTCCACTTTTGCGATACCTATTTTGAGACGGCCCGCGTGACCTGTCAAAGTTCTTCTTCGGTCACTCGTCGATGCCACGGGAGCAACACCAGAAAAAAGCTTAAACTCCATCTATGCGGCTCTCTTCCACAGGTGCAGGCAATGCGTGGGAGCGCATTCGTACTTGAATAGAGCACCCGACTTCCCCACTGGAGCCGGATGTCGTTTCTTGTTCCGGGGGTGAACTGCACCGGGCACAATATCCGAAGAGTCCGCTGTTTCTGTTTGCAATGTAGTAGCATCTCTACTCTCCTCAGACTATCATCACACTGGCCTTGAAATGTCCAACAAAGACTATATTCTCGTGACCGGCGGAGCAGGCTATATCGGCTCACACACCACGGTTGAACTTATCCAAAACGGATACAATGTGGTGATTGTCGATAACTTGGTGAATTCCAGCTACGATGCCGTGGCTCGCATCGAGTACATTGTCCAGAAAAAAGTGCCATTCCACAACGTGGACATTGGTGACAGCGACGCTCTTTCCAGCGTCTTCGAAATATACAGAATCGTGGGGGTCATCCATTTTGCAGCCTTGAAAGCCGTGGGTGAGCTGACCCAGATCCCATTAGACTATTACTATAACAATGTTCGTGGAACCCTTAGCTTGCTTACCACCATGAGGGCAGCAGGCGTCAAAACCATAGTGTTCAGTTCGCTGGCAACCGTCTATGGTGATGCCACGCGCTTCAAGGACATGATTCCGATTCCAGAACACTGTCCTACAGGAGCCACCAATCCATATGGCAGGACTAAGCTCATGATTGAGGAAATGCTAGGTGACATTCACAAGGCTGACCCCACTTGGCGCTCGGCAATCTTGCGGTACTTCAATCCAATTGGTGCCCATCCTTCTGGGCTTATTGGCGAAGACCCCTTGGGCATTCCAAACAACCTCTTACCCTTTTTGGCACAGGTGGCTGTTGGGAGAAGAGAAAAACTCGCTGTTTTCGGAAACGACTATGACAGCCACGACGGCACACCGATCCGCGACTACATCCACGTGGTGGACTTGGCCCGTGGCCATCTTTCTGCCTTGGAATATTTGCGCAACTTGCCCGAAAAAGAAGGATTGTACCGCGAGTGGAACTTGGGTACAGGGAAAGGGTCCACTGTTTTCGACGTGTACCATGCTTTCTGCAAGGCCATTGGGCGGGAGTTGCCCTATGAAATTGCGGGGCGGCGTGCTGGAGACGTGCTTAATTTGACCGCAAATCCAACGCGGGCAAATCTGGAATTGAAGTGGAAGGCACAATTGTCCATTGAGGAGGCATGTACGGACTTATGGAAATGGACTACCGAGAATCCCTATGGCTTCAGTTTGGAGAATTATCTGTGGAAGTTGTTCGGAGACATGGAGAAATACGGGTACCTGAGCCGTCTTCACACCATCAGCTTTCCTGACTTCGAGGTATCAATTGCCAACTACGGGTGCGTGATTCAAAGCATCAAGAAAAGGGGTGCACAAGTGACCCAAGGCTTCGGCACTTTGGAATCCTACTTGCAGTCTGAAAACCCGTTCTTTGGGGCATGCATTGGAAGATACGCCAATCGGATCCGTGGCGGGCAGTTTGAGATTGACGGAAAGAAGTTCCAGGTCGACAAGAATGAGGATGGGAAAAACTGTTTACACGGTGGCGCAAACGGCTTTGACAAGCAGTTTTTCTTGGGACCTGTGGTCAAGCAGCTTGGAACCAACGAGTATACTATGGAGTTTGTCCATGTGGACGGCAGCGGGAACAATGGATTTCCTGCTGATTTGGTCACACACGTCAAGTATACCATTGGTAAGAGCTCTCTTGAAATTGAGTTTAAGGCCGAGATTTTGCGGTCCTCGGAAGACACCGCAACGCCTGTCAATCTAATCAACCACGCCTACTTCAACTTGTCTGAATCCGCTTCGATTGACGGCCTAGTTGCCAAAATTTCCACCAACAAGGTTTTAGAGTTTGATGACCAGAAGCTTCCAACGGAAAATATCAGTTTCATCGACAGGGACTTGATCACTGGCAAAACACTCGACGAACGTGCCGTGTTCGATCATTGTTTCGTTGTTGACGATCTGGATTGGGATTTGGACACTCGCCAGAAAGAGCTCAAGCAAATTTTCGAACTCACCAGTGAAGAGACCGGCAGAAAAATGGAAGTATTTTCTACTGAGCCTTCATTCCAGTTCTACACTGGCGATGGCGTAAAAGTGGGTGACCATTCTCTGCGCTGTGGGCTTTGCATTGAGCCAGGAAGATTCACCAATGCAGTAAATGTTCCTGAATGGCGCAAGCAAGTAATATTGAAGAAACGCGAGGTTTACGGCTCCCGGATGCGCTATGTTTTTGATTGACTGATAAGTATTAGAGAGGTCCAAGTGGTGCTCGTTGTTACAAGTCTATACAGAGTTTCAACCTGTTTTCATGATAGTATCAAGACTAAAAGTTCTGTCCCGGTAAAAATGATTTAAACATTTGATCAATCAAAAGATATGATTCATTTCGGATGCAAGATACAGACGCGGGCCACGCCAAATGATGTGCCCAGTTTTATCAGCGGTGTTTTAATGAACTTTTCACAGCTTTATTCCCACAATTCCAGTTCACTTTCCAGGCATGTCAAAGGAGGAACCTTGTGACTTTGTAGCCAAATGTAGCTGAGTCGACCCAGATCATTAATCATGTGAAGACGCTAATCGCGATGAATTTTAAATATTCAGAAACTATTTGTTCCCAGCGCTCCCAGCCATGACTCTGATCATCTCAGTAACTCCATCTTGCACACTTATTTCTGGCTTCCAGCCCAAGCTCGAGACTTTGGAGCAGTCAATGCTGTAGCGGGAATCGTTATATAGTCTGTCCTGGCCATATCTGTAATACATGGAGAAATCTCGGATATCGACCCCGTGTACTAAATTGACATATCGTTGGCAAATCATCTCCACCAAGTCTTTGTTGGACCATTCCTCATCGGTACCTATGTTGTAAATCTCACCAGACTCCCCCGTTTTTATCGCATAGCTCAGAATAAGGTCTACAGCTCTCACGAAGTCCAAGACATGCAAGTACCGTCGTTTATGCTGGCCTTTTCCATGAAGAACAATCCTTCTGCTAACATCAATCCCAGTTTCTGGCTTGCTAAGTCGAAGCAGATCCAATGTGGTTGCTATGAGCTTTTCGGGGTACTGTCTGGGACCATATATATTATTTGCCCTGACTACTGTAACGGGCAAATGGTAGGATTTGACATAAGCACCAACAATCAAGTCACATGCTGCTTTTGAAGCCGCATACGGATTTGAAGGGTGAAGACTGGCATTTTCGCTAGCCACTGCTCCAACATCTTGTTCGCCATATACCTCATCGGTCGAAACATGGATGATCGAGATTCTGTCCGCACAAAATGACCCTTCTGAGATCAAAATGCGCACCGCCTCTAGAACATTTTGAGTTGCCATGATATTATTCCTTGTAAAAAAAACAGGGTCTGAGAACAGCCGATCAACACAGCTTTCAGCAGCGAAATTGAAGATTGTGACTGAACTAGACTCTGCCCCCATTCGGCGCTTGAATACCGATTTCACCGCCTCAAGATCGCCAGCTAGATCGATTTTTTCAAACTTAAAAATCGCAGTTCTCTGGGCCTGTTTCAAATTTCGAAGCAGAAAATCGCTGGCGTATGATATTTTATCTAGGCAAGTGATTGCACCAGTTGGATAATGATCAAGAAGGAAATCCACCATGTGAGACCCTATAAACCCGGCGCCGCCCGTGACAACAAAGTGATTCTCAAACCCGGCTTTGCCCGTCATTTTTGACCCCAATATAAAACCACCTTTCTAGCATAGTGTGATAGCTTCGTATCCTTTCCCTCACAGTGATCGTACAGTGTGCATATTTAGAATCGGAGAGGCAAGACCAGCTCGCGTGTCATGCTTTTGAGATGAGGCTCAATATGCACACTGCCCCACGTCCATCCCGGGGGTGGAGGGCATATGCATCCAAAACGCATGATATAGCGTGCGTTCAGAGTCGCGCACCTGTGAAACCCGGATTGCGTTTGACGCACGAAGCCCCACATCCAGCACCGTCTCGTGGCCATATTGCCTCATGTTTGCGAGGCATTTTTCTCGTATCTAGGAAGCAGCCTGCCGCTTGGAAAGAAAGCTTTGAGTTATTTCAGCTGGCCACATCCTCTCAGCTCACACATCCCCTATTTTTCTTTGCTCGACATCAGCTCGAAATTTTCCGGAGGTTTTTCAGAGAGACGCACAGCTAAAGATGGCCGCATTTAGTTTCTCCGAGCACTCGCACCGGAGATACAATCCTTTAACCGATGATTTTGTCTTGTGTTCGCCTCACCGTGCTAAGCGACCATGGCAAGGGGCCGAAGAAACCGTAGCCAAAAACGAACTGCCGACTTACGATCCCAAATGCTATTTGTGTCCTGGAAATTCTCGTGCCAGCGGCGGCGTAGCAAATCCAAAATACGAGTCGACATACGTTTTTCCTAACGATTTTCCGGCTGTTCAATTGGATCAGCCTGAATACGAAGATGGCGAACAGCTGGACCTGGCAGTTTCACAATTAAAACAGAAGCTCTTACGTGTCAGTAGCGTGAGGGGCAAATGCTACGTGATATGTTTCAGTCCAAACCATGCATTGACGCTTCCATTGATGACGCATTCGGAAATCACCCTGGTCGTCGACACGTGGCAAAGTCTCTATTTCGAAACAAAAAGCCAGGCAGAAAAAGGTGAGGCGCCTTTCACGTACTTGCAGATTTTTGAAAACAAAGGTCTGGCGATGGGGTGCTCGAACCCCCACCCACATGGGCAAGCATGGTGCTTGGATGTAGTGCCTACAGAAGTGAGCCACGAGCTTGCCAACATGGCCAAATACGTCGAAAGAAACAACAGTCATTTGCTTGCAGATTACGTGGAGTTGGAGCTAGCTGCAAGAGAACGCATAGTGACGGAAAATGATTCCTTTCTTGTGGTGGTACCCTTTTGGGCCGTCTGGCCATTTGAAACGCTTCTTTTGGCAAAGACCCACTTGCCCTCTCTTGCAGAGTTTTCCGAAAAGCACAAAGCTGATTTGGCAGCGGCGTTGAAGACGTTGACAACTAAATACGATAACTTGTTCAAGACATCGTTCCCATACTCCATGGGCTTGCACCAAGCGCCTTTAAATGCCACTGATGCAGAGAAAAAATCTTCCTGGTTCCATATGCATTTCTACCCTCCGTTGTTGCGCTCGGCTACTGTGAAGAAATTCTTGGTGGGATTTGAGATGTTGGGAGAAGCACAGAGGGACTTGACAAGTGAGCAGGCTGCAACAAGGCTCTCTGAGTTGGATGGGGTTGTTCACTACACGAAGGACTTACATTTGGGATAAACACCTTTATCTCAAGAATACACTTATTCATCTCTTGGATTGTACTTCTCTCATTTGTACCTCGTCATCTACTTTGTATTATCTGTTTCGCGTCGTTTTGACTACGGTAGACAGTTAGCACAAAGCTTTAGGTTCTTCATGAAACTTTGTTATAGTCATCAAAGATATTTAGAATCTATCTTCTATTAAAGTTTCACTGGCCAAGTCCTCATCAGACCAGAAATAGAGGGACAATCTCAAAATAAATTCTAGCGCTCATTGCAGATACAATCAGGCGGAGCTTGCGGTCTTCACTTCATTTATTAAATGAAAGAGAACAGAAAGACTGTATGCAGGGCTGGAACCTGGGGCAGTCATCACCGAAGAGTGTCTTCAAAAGCCAAATATGAATAATTCCGAAAATGATTAATGACTGGATCAGGACTACTTGGCAAGCCAGTCCTGGGATAATCTAGAATATACAACACAAGCATCTTCAGTCTGAATCCCTTCCAAACAATAGCACTATGCTTGATCGCATAATGAAGAAAAGAATCCTTTTGTAATCAGTCCATCAAGAGATTCTCATCACACAGCATTACTTCACAGAAGATAGTCGCCAATTCAAAATACACTCGTGTCCTAGATTCTTGCAGTTCGGATCCATCTGTAAGCGGGAACCCGCATCATGTTGCAATCTACAGACTTCCTGTGCGCGTAGTTAAAGTGATAGAATAGTCATTATGCCCCTCAATTAAGCCCCCCATGATGATGCACTGAACGAAATAGTTTGAAAGTGGTCTCATTTTCGTGCCTCTGATGATTTAGACCTTAGACCAGAATAGAAGCCTTAGGAAAGACCACGTTTCGCTGGTTTGAGATGCGTATGTTTTGATCAACAATCAGTAGTGGCCTCTATAGTAATCTTAGTTTTTAATAATGATTAAGTGACCCAGTGTCCAAATGGTCCTCTCTCCAACTTATGTACACCTGAATTGGTACCACGTGGAACTTGTCCCACGTCGGCTTCGTCATGTTGGACTTGCTGGTAAAGTTTTACATACACTACTATCCGAACTTTACGAAACGTGTGACTTTTAAAAACAGCCTTCCTAACACAGATAGCGTGTGTTCACTTGACTTGAAAATCATTTGCGGGAATACAAATCACTCAAACATGGCATAACTACTGAAAGTGCTTTTTGAATGGTGGAAGTCATCTTTAGCCTGCCTATTATGATGAAAATTTTTACCCCAACCTGGCATATCTAAGTCTTTGTGAGCTCGTATAGGCTAGATCAAATGATGTCGATGTTCTCCCGCGAGAATTATTTTTTCAAGAAACCATCAATTACAAGGTTTGGACAACAATACAAGAAACAAACACAAATGTAGCTTTGTGAAGGAGACGCTAAAAAGCTTATTCATATATGTATGAGTATCAAGAATGAAACCTAGTGTTTCCTTATCTTTTTTGATCTTCTTTCGGGACAATGTGCTAATTTTTTTATTCACACTTCTGAGTTATAGAGCTACTAGATTTGACGATCTTGTTTTGATTATAAGATACGAAATATTCGCAGGTTTTTTAGTTGTAAATTTTAGATCATAACTTTAAATTGGAGCTGAACCTTATTGAGTTTGCTTAGCAGAGTGTGATGATTTCCGCATTGTTTGATATATGGATTGCCACGTGATGATCTATCGCGTGGACACGGTGATGTTTTTTAGGTGAGAGGAAGCCTTAGGGCCCCAAGGGTCTGACTGAGATACATGACAGCCCCGTGTATATACGCTTAGACATTATATACTATATCAATTGATTACATACATTAAGACATATACTAAAACAATCGATTATTAACAAGATGAATCACAAGAGTGCGTATTAGGGCAAAACTTTATTTTCATACAAAGCACAAAGACGACAACATACCTTTGTTACAAAACCCATTCAGTACAGATACACAGGGCTCTATTTGATCTCCAATATTTTTGCCTAAATTTGCTATTGGATTCGTGGATTGCTGTGACTTGTGTGGGAGTCGAAACCTCTTACTTTCAGCTGCTTAATTCAATTGTGCGTTTACATTCAGCAATGCCAGCAAGCTGGTGTGCCGAACTTCGTCATATGGCCTTTCTCATCATTCAAACCAACGCAGCAATCAAATGAGCGTATTCTTTTAACGGAAGGATTTGGCGAAATATAAGTCAGTATGAATTTGAATGTCTTGAGAATAAGCAATATGATTCAGTGCTTCATTTGATTAAAGAATGAAAAAACAAATTTTTTGCGCCGCATGAGAACCACCCATTGTCTCTGTCAAAAACAGAAGCTTTTTTTCCCGGAACTCTTGATGGCTCCCGCTGTATTGTATGATCCTACGAAGCATAAATAAGTAGCAAACTAGTCTCACCGTCCGCATTGTATGACTGAGCTATAGTAAGAATCAATTATATAGCCAGCCAACATGCGCTTGTATGTAACAGCTTGAGACTTCTTTATTTACTCAAGTTAGCCTTGTTTTCACGCAACAAAACCCGTCAACATTTCACACAATGAAATTTGGTATTTATGTGGTCGCCATTTCGTGGCTCCTGAGTCGAGTATTTGCAGTGAATATTCAACAGAGCACAGTCGAAATTGACCAGGGCGTTAAAGCCATCGAAAATCTCACCATCCACAAGATTGTTTATTATTCAATTATCAACAGCCCCCAGGTTACCGTGTTGCATTCTTTTAAAAATGCGGGCACGTTTTACGTCACAAGCACCAACGGCTTTGAAGCTTCGGTAGTCATTAAAGGAGATCATTTCCAAAATTCCGGACTAGTTGTCTTTAACTCCTTTCTTGTCAATGAATCCATACATGGTGTTGATGTCGAAAATGATTTTGCGAACACTGGCGCCATGTTGTTTGGTGTCTCGGGGTTTAATCCCTATTCATCAGTGACATTTGTTCTATCGGACGGATCATGGGTGAACACCGGTATGATATCGTTTTTGAAGTTGTCTGAATATCCTACTCGTTTGTACATTGGAAGGTCTCAACGGCTGAAAGGTGGCCTGAGTATCACAAACGAAGGAACGATTTGCTTTTACAGTCAGATTTGGGCGTCATATACACGCATTAAGGGGCATGGCTGTATCACTGTGGGCTCCAAGTCTAAACTTGAGATTTATTTTCCAGACTATCGTATTTCGCCCACTCAGACGATCAATTTAGAATCTTCAGACTCTTTATTGCAAGTTTACGGAATGAGCTCTTCGCTCGATATAGCACCGACCATCAAAGTTTCAGGCCTTGGAGAGGGCAATTCAATCGAAGTTGATATTCCTTATTTAACAATGAACGCAAAAGAGTACTCTACGCGGCGGGGGGAATTGTCAGTGGAAATTAAGAGCAAGCCTCGCGTGTATTTCCGAGTTGGCCGGGGATACCGTTTGGTGGATTTTCAAATCAGACCTTCGGCATTTGGCACAAGGATCACTGTCCACAAGCCTGCTCCAAGAAAACCTCCGCGTATATGCAAATGTGCCACAAAGATTCCTGTTGTCCCAACATATCTTCCTTAATCAGCGTTTTCTACTGTCTAAGATGACTTTCTGAAAAATACCGGCGCATAGTACTCCTGGACTGTTTCACACATTTTGCTTGTCATATAATGCTAGTTGGCTATCATCTAACCAGGGTATGTGCAATGTTGCTCCGAGAAAGGGTGAAAAATAGGTGTTTTGTGACAAAAAAGCTTATGATTTCGTACTTTTTGACAATTTCAACAACTTACTAAATTCATTAGTGTGTATTCGTTCTTGAGTAGTTGCTGAAACTTTACAGATATTTTTCACAGGAAAGTTAGTGTTTTCACCAGCTAAAGCTTCTTATCTCGATCTGCACAGCCTCAATTGCTTTGCGAAGCATCTCATTAAAATAATTACGTCGAAAATGGAGTCTTTTTGAAGATACGAGAATACCGGGTACTAGAATAATCTTTCCACGATGCCCAATGTGCTGACATAAGTATTTATACACTTCTACTTCATTAAAGCTGACAATAGAATGTAAGAGCATATCAAAATGATCATGAGATTCTCAAGCTAGCAGGCCAAGAGCCTGAGTTGTTTCAGAAAACACACTCTACTATATGTTAATATACAGTTTCAAAGGCTATGAGAATTAATATTATCAGGGGCCATGAGCCAAGTAGACGTATTGTACACTCATGCACGTATGTATTGTTCTTTAATTTCACCACCAAAGACATTTGAAACACTTCTGGAATGTTTTGTTTGACATAAAACCAGTTTTTGTTTCTAAGGTAGTATCGAGCTCACCAGTCAGACGTCGATGATTTAATGACACAGAGAATGGTACAAGAATCTACGGGTATGAAAGGGCAGGGGGTAATTTAGCTTTCAGGTGGCTCTGACTCAACGAGCTGTATTGCTTTGACCTTTTCACAATATTCTCAGACCAGATGGGTCGAGCCCATTAAGAAGAGAAGAGCATTACTTCCTCTCATCTATGAAATGCCCTTCATTCCATACAATGCATACCAGCCATAAAAATAAACGCACAGTGTTGGCATCTTCTTGAAGTGTTCACGCTCCAGGGAATAAAAGGATTAATATGAAGGACATACTCCTGTGTCCTAATAGATGTAAATCTCGCATAGAAATGAGTCTTTTCTGCGTTCCAAAAAGATTGCAACACCACAATTTCGCATATAGTCTCCCACTTAACTACTCGGTGTGGCCCTATGACGCTTGACGAGTGTTTATCGGACGGGAAACAGTGTGTTCTCCATGGTATTATGGCCGCAACAGCAAATTTTTGCCAAGGTCATTCTATTGTGCCTCGCCCGGAAGTGAAGGCGATGAAATGCCGGCGAAAATTCTGGAAATAATTATAAAACTACGAATGGTTGGTGCAAAATGATTTCACCGCCACCACCACCCATCTATTCAATCTCGACTCCGATTTTCCCCTTCATGATAATGTAGTTGGGGCGTCAAGATTTGAATTGCAGGTTGTGTTTGAAAAGCTGTAATAGCGATCAGAAGTTAACCCACCTCTACAATGAGTGCGAGATTGTGCATTTTGGTGGCAAAAGATCGGCTTTCAAGTATCAATGCACTTGAGGGAAACGCTAGCTCCTTTTGGTAATCTAAGAAACCTTGATTGGTTTTTTTAAGTCATTCGCAGGGTTCATTTGCTTCGGGACCAGGAGGCAAAGACAAATGTACGTCTGTCAAATGAACTATGGTCACGGGCTCTCAGGAAAATATGTATCATGGGAAGATAACATTTACTTGGTATTAATCAAGTGGTTGACATTGGGTATGGGTAAAAGTCTTTTTGAGGCATCGTCTTTGGGAGATTTCGTGAATTGGTGCTCGCGCCTGTTCATCTGAGCCAATGTTGCAATCATGGGTTTTTTCTTTATGTAATTTTTCGCTAGTGGTGAGGTTATACATCCCTCCACCCTATGATATGACGTTTCTTTAAAATAAAAAGAAAGATGTGCTTCGAATAAATAGCTATAGGAGGCTTATCCTAGGAATGGATGACTTTTTATTCAAAACGTAAACAGTTACGGGCCAAGAGGGCCGTCCCATCGTTATAAACGAAAGGGGGCGGGTCGAGACTTTGTATGATCTGGGAGCTGCTTAAAGGTCTCTTATATATATTATTGTATAGTCTTGTTCCTTTGATCAAATAAAACTACCAAAAAAAAAAAACACTTCAAACTTCTGGTTGAAGAGACTTGTCTTCCTTGGAATCAACGACGTGAAATTCAGTATAGGAACAGACACACGAGCTCATCAGGTGGTAATGAACAAAGATAGTTTCTGACACTAGGCACATATTTGGGAGGCGGTCAAAGATGTTCTGGATAAATGTTATATTTTGATAGAATTAATTAAATGCATCCCGCAAAAATATGCATTAGTATTATGTGATCATTTAAAGCCTGCTTTTCTCACCAGCTATCACATCGATAAAACACAGTATAAATCGGCTGAAATCCAGACACAAGAGCCAACCTCTTAGAACATTCTTCTAGTTCGAGAGTTGGGCCTCGTTTCGCAAAGCAATCGAGCCAGTGCCCACAAACCCATAATTACCGTGCAATTTTCGCTCCGATATGATCTTATCCGTCTCAGCACCAAATCCTCCACCGCCGGGTGTTCTAATAATGAAGCGATCGCCGACTTGTGCTGTGACAGTAGCCTTGCCTCCCACATTGACTTCACGATGGTCCACCACATTGCCCTGCTCGTCCTTGATCTGACGCACCCAAATGTTTTGACCTCGAGCTCCATCTCCTCCACCATTCAAGCCATGCGGCGCAATGACACGTCTCTCCGAGAGAATCGACGCGGTTACTGGAACCCGAAATTCAACATCTCGCACGACACCACACCCACCCGGATTTGCACCCGAGCCACCGGAATTCTCGCGAATACTGAACTCGCGAAGAAGCACAGGGTAGCGCTTCTCGAAGACCTCTGCATCGGTGATACGAGTGTTGGTCATGTGCGTGTGCACACCACTGACACCGGACCATGTAGGCCCGGCACCATGGCCACCAGCAATAGTCTCGTAGTAGCCGAAGCCTTGAACGTAGTTCCCGTTCTCGTCGTTTCCTCCTACACCAAAGGTGAAGTTGTTCATGCACGACTGTGAGTTTGCCAGTGCCCTGAACGCAGTCAAGATAACCTCCGTGATGATCTGCGACGTGCATACATTGCCGGCCACAACCGCACAGCCCTCGTCCGGATTGAGGAGCGATGACTTAGGGATTTTCACTCTAATTGGACGTAAGCAGCCTTGGTTCAATGGTATTGTTTCAGCAACCAAACTCCGCAAACAGTAGATGATAGCCAGGTACGTAATAGCCACGGGCGCATTGCTGTTGGCGTAAACCTGCATTCCAGTTCCTGAAAAATCAAATAGCACCTGTCCATCGGCTTCTTCGGACACTTTCAAGCAGATTGGCGAGCCATCATCCATGTAGTCGACACACTGAAGTCCATTGCCAGACTTCCGTATCACTGACTTCAACATGTGTCCTACGGTTTCCGCGGCGTTGTCCTGGATAGCACCCATGTACTTAGAGATCGTGGGTAATCCAAACTCGGACACTAACTTGTCGATCAACTGAACACCTTTCTGGTTGGCCGCAATTTGTGCCTTGAGGTCGCTGAGATTGTCGCTCAAGCGGCGTGTACCGGAGCACCCGGCAGCCTCAGCTGGCTTGTGTAACAACAATTCAATCATGCGAGCTTCTTGGAACTGGCCGCCTTTCACGAGCAACTCGGAGAAAATCGCCGCACCCTCGTGTTCCAAGATTTTGGACCCGGGAGGCATGGACCCAGGCAAAAGCCCCCCGATATCCGAATGGTGAGCACGCGACGCCACGTAGAAGATGATCTCACCATTTTCGAACGCCGGTGAGATGACGGTGATGTCTGGCAAGTGTGTGCCCCCCGCCATCGGGTGGTTGCTGACAATGACATCGCCGGGCTCGAGTTTGCCCTCCCAGTGCTTGGCCTGAAACGTGATACATGTGGACATCAGGCCTAGATGCACGGGAACGTGTGGCGCATTTGCCACCAAGTTACCAGCCTTGTCGAACAACGCACACGAAAAGTCGAGCCGCTCCTTGACATTTACTGACACCGATGTTTTTTGCAAGGACGCGCCCATCTGCTCGGCGATATCCATGAACCGGTGGCCGAAGATTGAAAGAAGCACTGGATCCACAGCCAGTGACGCAGTATCACCTGCAGCGGCATCACTTTGAGCGTCTTTTTCTGCGATGGTTACCACCACATGACTTTTCAACACCAAGGCTGATGCGCCCGGAGGCACGACATTTGTCTGGGTGCCGTCTGCGATGATGGCGGGCCCTGACACATTGCCTCCAAGCACCAAGTCCTCCAATCTGTAGACTGGCGTGTCGAGCTCGGCGCCGGAAAAGTACACTTTCTTGGAAAACGACGCCTGCGCAGCCGAAGCGGGGAGGATCTTGTTTTTGGCTTTCAAACGGTGGATTTGGTCGTCCACGTACTCGTCTTGGCTGCGGACAGACTTGCCAATGGCACGCACACGCACATCATCCACAAGGATCTCCTTGTCAAAAACGAAGCCAAACTCCCGCCTATGCATCGCCATGAACGTGTCCTTGAAATCCCACGCCGTGCCCTTGGGCACCATGATGCCAGACTCGGTGCCGGCAAAACGGAGGTTGAGGTACTCCTCGTAGACAATGGCTTTGTCGTCGAACTCCTGGGCCCTCAACGTCGCAGCCGCCTGTTTCTTGAGCTGGTCCAACCGCTGTGCCAAGCTATCCTGGCTGTCATCGGAGAGCACCACGGAAAAAGGCTCTTGTACATCCTCGACCACGTCTGCCAACGCCATGCCGTACGCAGACAAGACAGACGAGTGCCGGTGGATCAACACTGTGCTGATGCCCAAGGATTCGGCAATGGCCACCGCGTGTTGGCCACCAGCACCGCCAAAGGACACGAGGCGGTGGGCCGCAGTCACGTGCCCCTTGGCTTCCGCCAACTGGCGGATGGGCCGTGCCATGGTTTCGTTGGCGACCTTGATGAATCCGTACGCGACCTCGCGAGGGGTCATGGGCGTCATTTCCGGGCTTTCTGCGTTGATCTGGCGCGTGAGCTCCTCGAACTTGGACGCAGACGCGTCGAAATCTAGACTCTGGTCCTCATTGGGCCCGAAGATCCGCGGGAAGTATTCTGGGAGCAAGCGCCCCAAATAGAGATTGGCATCCGTGACAGTGAGCGGGCCGCCTTTACGGTAGCACGCAGGGCCAGGTTCGGACGCGGCCGACTCGGGGCCCACGTGGAAGAGGCCGTTTTTGTACGAGAGAATCGAGCCTCCGCCCGCTGCCACCGTGTTGATGTCGAGCTGGGGGCTCTGGATGGTGACTCCCGCAGTGACGGTCTCAAAGACATGGTGGAACTTGCCCTCCCCGTACCGAGACACATCCGTGGACGTGCCTCCCATGTCGAAGCCTATGAGGGGGACCTCGTTGTGGGGATTGTAGCACGTGGCCGAGAAGCCCACCACGCCGCCCGCGGGACCGGACAAGATGGCCCGCAAGCCCGAGAACGCGTGTGCGTCCACGAGCCCGCCGTCGCTTTGCATGAAGTGGCAGCGCACGCCGTCCCGGTTGCTGTCGCTGCGGTAGCCGTGCGCCAAGCCGGCCTCGAAGCTGCGCAAGTACTTGCGGATCTCGGGCGTCAAGTACGCGTCCACAATGGCGGAGTTGGCGCGGGCCACGAACTTGATCATGGGGCTCAACGAGCTGGAGAGCGACACGTGAGTGAACCCGATCTGGCGCGCGATGTCGCCGACAATCCGCTCGTGGTCGGGGTACGTGTACGCATGCATCAAGCACACCCCCACGGAGCGGATGCCGGCGTCGTAGACGAGCTGGAGCGAGCGCCTGACGTCGGCCTCGTTGGGCGTTTGGAGCACCCGCACGGTCTCCAGCGAGAGCCCCGTGACCAAGTCGCGGCCGTTGGCGGCTGACACCTGGCGGGCCGGGTCCTCCACAAAGTCCTCGAGCGTGACGCGCTCGTCCACCTCCACCACGCAGTCGTACAAGACGTCCGGCTTGCTGATGGACAAGTCAAAGATGTGCGGCCTGCTCTGGTTGCCGATGGCCAACACGTCCTTGAAGCCCTTGGTGGTGATGAGCGCACACTTCTCGCCTTTGCGCTCGAGCAACGCGTTGGTGGCGACCGTGGTGCCCATTCGGAGATACTCGATATTGGACGTATCCAACGGCTGGCCACGGGGAATCTGGGTGCCGGACAACTTTTCAAGCAAGCGCCGGATTCCTTCTAGCGGCGCGTCGGGGTAGTTGGCCGGGTCGACGGATAGAAGCTTGAGCACGACGTCGTCCTCTTGCCGGCCGGAGCCGGGGTTTCCGACACAGTCAGTAAACGTTCCGCCTCTCTGGATGTTAGTCACGTGATGCTGTGGGTGCTGGGCACGCCGTGGCGGGGAAACATACGTCGATGGCAATGCGGTAGCCCATGGTGATGCAGGTCTATGCTGGATGTGAGGTGTGCTGGTGCTGCTGTGGGCAGAGTGAATGTTTTGTTCCAGATAGCCTGGGTCCATCAGTGCACTCTTATATAGATAGGGCCGCGGGGATTGAGCGGTGCGCATTTTAGAATGCGGCGATTGACCTCCGGGAAGGCCAGAACGGCGATCAAATCAGACCGTGTTGGCCACACATTTTGCAGGTTTCCGCAAGATGCGGAGGATGACGCCTCGAATGCACAAGTACATTTTTGTTCCGTCTGATTGGCTGTGTGTCTGTCCCATTGTGTGTTGGGCTCGATGTTTCTGATTGTGATTGGCCATTGATGGCATGCCTTCGGTTCTCTTCGTCTCTGTAGTATCCTTTCCAAACCCCTTGAGGCGTCTGTTCTGTCTTCTCTTTGTTGAGTTTTAAACGCTGGTTTTTAATGTTGTTTGGTCCTTTCGAGACTGTGGAGATGTGACGAATGCCCGATCTGAATATTATGGAACTGCCCGATAGATTATTTTGGAGCGTTCCGAGCGCGAAGGCTAGAAACCTAGAGTTCTCTAGGGCGAATCTGCTAGTTTTGAGTCGCCCTTGAGTCTCCCTTTTGCGGATCCTGGTCACATGTTGCGTCTATTGCACTGGCAAGGCACCCATGAAGCTTTAAAATTTTGGTGGCTATTACTTTCCATGTCTTCGAGGAATAACAAAGAAGGCCGGAAACAATTGAGGCACAACCTTGTTTAGTACAATACCATCCTCAAAATAAGGACGCTGCATGCTTTAAGACAAACGAGAAACAGGACTCAAAGCCACAGTTCAACGACTCCTATGTAAGATAGGCTATTTCAGTATCAGCCTGCAAGATCTGCTTAGTAAAATGGTATGGTTGACAATCAGACAAACTCGGCATTTCATATCTCATCTTGACTTTCGAGACAAATAAATATGAAGACTGTTTCTGTTTCTGTTGGCTGCTTGAGGTTTTCCTGTCAGTCCAGTTGATCTTCCGGTTAGATCTTACATGTTATAAGCGCCCGCAATCGTTTGACTTCTTGCAGCCTTTAAACCACATGTCACGTGATCGTTTTACATGTTCAAACGGTATGTTCGATTTATTTAATGACCAACGGTACTTGAGGTTCCTCGTTCGAATCTGAAAAATTTGAGAAGAGGAAAAGAGCATTTGAATCATCTAGATTATTTTTTTTTTTTTTGATTTGCACGAACTGCGGTAGATGTGCAAATACGAATTGGTTCGATCCGGTTTAGCGTTTCATTTGTAAAAAATGATTATTTCAAAAACCTCAGCACATGAATACAATAACAAGCCAACTTTCTGAGAACCTTTTTCTCAGTGCTCTCGAAATGAATGATGTTCACTAAGTGATCACTCTCATAGCTCCATAACATCTTCGTCTCTCAAATCTGTGACTAACATATGGCCCGGAGCATGTCCAATTATCGGGCCATCAATTCTATCATGCACTGAAAGCGCTGCAATCTGAGCTGTGACACCACACCCCCAAAACACCGGCACCTCGTCATCTTCGATCTGCGTCGAGTCGCCAAAGTCCGGGTTACTCAAGTCTCGAATTCCTAGGCGCTCCATGGCATCGTATCCAAAGTCAATAGGCGCCCCGTGAGTTTTCTTAAATCGGCCCGTGATTTCTTTCACTCGAGAGATATCCTTTAATTTGTATGGTCTCATGCTCACAACATAAGGAACATCTACAAACACGCCAGAGTCTTGAAGCCGCCTGGTAGTTTTATACATGGAAACGTTCCTTTTCTGAGAGTAGTTCCGGGGCGGTAGACCTGCTTCATCCAAGGCTTTTTCGAAAGAAAACGAACAACCAATGAGAAAACCCACATGGCGGGTCGGATCCCATATGTCCGATACGTCCGTGGGACACCTGACAAGGCTGCCGTTTTCGTAGACCGTGTATCTGGGAAAGTCACGTGTTATGTCGAAATATTTGTCGCTGATGATGCGTTTATCGTTTGTACTGTGTTGATTTCCTATTTCAGTGTGTGCTAGAAGTGGACATGGGATGGGGTTGCGAAGACAAAGCTGGTGGAAATCTGCAGCCACTTTAGTGGGCAAAATCACTAGATTTGCTTGAGCAAAACCAGGACAAAACCCCGACGTCTGGCTCGTATGCAAGCCTTGTCTGCATTGTTGGCGAAATTCGGTGGGAGTCATAGAGATGACACAGCGATACTAAATTTGGTAATTTGCACTCATCATGCGGAGTACCTGAGAATATATATGCGGCAGATGCCCGGCAGATAAGGAGATACGGTGCGCCCACGGAAATCAGTCGCAGTCTGCGGAGGACCGCAGGATTGCGAAGAACTTGTACATAAGCACAGTTGATGCTGGAGAGCTAAAAATACGCTAGCAAAAAATGTAAATTTAAGTCTTGGGTCGTGAAATGAGGCCTCTTTATTCAGAAAAAATTCGAGGAAAAAAAATCTGGAAATAAGCTAGACCACGCAGACGGATCACCAGGGCCGCCAAACTCCGGAGACCCCTCAGGTTCAGTCGATTCTTGGCGCTGGTCCTCCAAAACCACATTGTTTCCTGAATTACCTAAAAGTTGGTAGATCAAGGGATCACAGGACTTCTTACGCATCAAAAGATGCTTTTGCAACTCGGCTTCATAATCTAAGCCATACCTTGCCTTAAGCGTGGCTCTTAATTTCGCAAGCGACTTTTCACTGAGTTTCCACGTACTGGACATTTCCATCAAGATTTCCATGAAGTCAAAAAAGTAATCTTTTTCCTCTTGACTTTCGGTAAATGTGGTTCTGTCATTCAGCAAGAGAATTGAAGCACCAATTATGCATGAGTAAACGATAAGGATCGAGCACCGACGAGCGCCGTGCGCCTTGACAAATGAGTACATTGCCGTGTGTATGTCTGCGATAGACTCCATGCAAATCAGCAACGAATTGAAAAGTGACGGCTGCTCATCGTGTGTTTCATTGACGAAAGGTCTGTTCAAGCACAAAAGGATAATATAGAAGTAATATCGAGTGAACATTTTGGTAGTATCGTGACCTTTCTCACGGAGAAGTGAGCGGTCCCAGCGCAAGTTCTCTGGAAGATCTGCTCTCCAGCGCATAATGCGCCGATTGTAAGTTTTCACAAGCTCAAGCTTGGTAGACACATTAGATTCATCCGCGAAAACCGTAGCCATCATATTATCGGAGATCTCTGCAAGCTTGATGATGCTTCCAAGCGGATTAGAAATGTCAATGTACGACACACATTCCTCGCTACCGGCACCAGGATAAGTGTAGGGTTGGATCCATTCAATGGAAGGCATATTATCTGATACATGGATCGTGGATCCATCAGGCTTGATCACACTGGGCCGTCCCAAAATCAAGCTGACAAACCGATCCACCATAAAGCATCCCCAAAATATTCTACTTCGAACGCTGATTGTGATCTCACTGACATCTTTTTTGTCGCCCACAAGCCAGCGTTCAGGTCTGAGATGAAACCCAATTCCCAAACCCATGCGCAATGCGTCTCCCGTCAACATCCAACCCGCATTATTCCGAAAATTGTAAATATCATAAAGCCCCAAGAGGAGGTATGCTTGTAATGAGGAGATGGAGGGGAAATCAATAGAGGTCAGTAGATGATCTCGTGACATTCGATAAAAGTGGGGAGCCAAGTATTTGATGTCTGGATCGTCCGACATCAGTGCGCCAACAGAGCATATTGCATAGACAAGCTCGGTAGAGCTGTACACCGCTAAAGATTCGGGGTCAAAGAAGTCAAGGAGGAATGCTTCTCGGAATATGAAAGCATGCATGTCCGGATACAGCCACCGGAAAAAAAGCTTAATGCATTCGATAATCCTAGGGTCCTTACAGAAAGACACTGGTCTGTGTTCTCCTGGAAGCTCCCGATATGGAAGCGATTCCGAGTCAAAAATACTGGTAGGTCCGTAAACAGACACCGAGATGGGGTTCGCGTTCTGAAACGTTTTCGCTTGGAAATATTTACGAGGTGCATTCAGAGTAGACTCGCTCGCTCGGACCTGTGCGTTCAAGGCTGACACTTTATGTGCCATAGACAACACGTTGATTGGTGACTCCAGTCGGATCGCAGGATGCTGAAATGAAGGTGTGACTTCGTCAGACAGTTCACCTTCCTGCGGCGTCGATTGGAATCTACCATTTTCGATTGTCTTCAACATATGCGATGCCTGATCAAGACTTTGTCGTAGATTCTTTGCCATGGATCTGTAATTCTTTATTTTATGCTCCAAGTCTAAGACCCTTCGATTCTGCGGCCGATCCTTTCGACCATCAGAAACCATCAAACACTCCACGTCGCGACGTTCACAAAGCACACATCGCAATCCGCCGTCAAACTGACATTTGCGTTTACTGCTGCGGCATTCCACACACGCGAGAGCATTCTTGGTGGAAGCCATTCTTCCCCATGCTCAATTTCTTTGGGACGTTTTATATTCGCGCGAATAGATAGCACTGGGCGGCCGATTCATGGATTTGGACTTGACTGCATGCAATACATTGGAATGTTGATCAAATGTCTGGCATGTCATGATTTTTGATAACATCAGATGACACTAGATAAAGTTGTTTATTGGGAAATACCGTATTCAGTGGAGATTTTGCAATAGTGTCCTGAAGAGTCGGAGCCTAACTTTTTCTGTTCTCTCTTTGTCTGATCACTTGAAGTATCAACGGATCCCGTCACTCCCTTCAGTGCAGACTATGCGGATGTTCTCTGTAGTTGAGGAGGAATTTCGAAACTCAAAATCAAGATTATCCGGAGTAAAGCTGAGAAAGGAAACAGTTGTCTCAAGCAAAATTCATAACTGAACCACAGAAGTTTAGTTTTGCGAAACTGTTCCCTCAAGAGTAGTAAGCACCCCATTCAGGCCACCATGCATAGGATGTTGGCGCATGTGACCAGGAACGCAGGCGCAGATATTCGCTCGAATAGTTTGGAAAAAATTTATCGTCTATAATAAAAGCAAAGTATGATATATAATTTCGGAGCCACGGCATGTAGTACTTGTGCCTCCTACTTTAACATCAAATGTAATGACACTTCGTTTTGGAAAGTGGCCCTTTTTTGTTGGCAACAAATGTCTCCATGCGTAAAGAGCAGTAAGCCCTTGGCAAGGTATCGATTTTAACTGCCATAAATAATCGCCTTAAACGGTCGAGACAGGCTTCTCATCGTACCCCTCTTCCTCTTCGGAGTCGACCTTGCTTGTCTTTCTGTCGGCGGCCAACACCTGTGCAAACTTAGACCTAGCACGAATTTCAGGTCCCTTCCAGTAGAAAACGTAGATGGGAATCATGACGAGAATGGCAAGGAAACCCAAAAGCGTACTGCCCCATTGCAAAGCGTACTTATCTCCGATATTTTCGTACAAAGGAATGGCGTACATGGCAGAGACACCGGCCAAGAAATCACGCGCAAATCCATTTCCACCGGTAGCAGAAGCAGAGTACGGTCCGTAAGCAGCCACCATGTAGTCAATGGTGGACATATAGATACTGAAGTTGGCAATGGCAATCAAGACAGTGAAGATCATGGGGGCAATCCAAGGGTTGTGGTCGGGGCCCATGCTGGTCCAAGCAAAACCGAACAAGCCAATGGCCTCCAAAGGAGCAAGGAAAAGCAAGAGGAGCATTCTGCGCTCGGCGAGACGAGACTCTTCTCCATAATTCTTGGTGAGAAACATTTGTCTAGCCACATCAGGAATATGAATACCGTATGCAATGAAGTAACCGATCAAAATTGGAATGAAAGCAAGACCATTGGCAGTGTTTGAGAAGCCCCATTGGCCGTAGACAAGAGAGAACGACTCCATGCAAATGAAAATCAAAGCGTCCGAGAAACCAGAGAAAAGCGACAAGAACAACACAATAGGCTCGGTGGCAAACATGACAAAAGGACGCGTCCAGATGTCAAAGATTTCTTTGAAAGTGAGTTTGTGATCGTTCACCTCTCCTGGGCCGTAGACGTGGTTGTTCTCACCTGATTCTCTCCTTCTCTTTGCCTCCTTGTCAATCAAAAGAGACACTCTGGTTTCGGCACAGAAAAAGAAATGAATGAGCTGAACAACACCTCCAAAAATGAGCTGGATCCAGAAGTTCCATCTCCAGGAAAGATTGTCACGGATTATACCACCAAAAATAGGACCGACCGCAGATCCAGCCACGGAGGAAAGAACAACGTATGCAACGGCGTAACCCTGGTCTTGGGCCTCCCACATATCGGCGGTAATACCCAACGTAACCGAGCCTCCGGCACATGACAAACCACCAAGACCTCTGGCGATCACGACAGTAGCATAGTTAGGAGCGAGTGCACCCAAAATCTGCCAAATGTTCACGAAGAACAAAGATCCCTGCAAGATAGGCCAGCGACCGTACTCCTCAGACCATGGGGCCCAGAGCTCACAGCCAAAAGCGTAGGCGATAAGGAACACCATCTGCGAGACCCTACTCTTTTGGTCGCTGATGTCAAACTCTTCGGCAATCAATGCAAGGGAACTTGGGTAGACGGAAGCGTTGAAATTCATCGACACTTGAACAATGAAAACAATACTGATGATCATCCACTTCTTTTGCGTTGACCAAGAGAACCCCAACTTCTCGTAACAGTCCTTCTCACGAAGAAGCAAGCGGCCATCTTCTAGTAACTGGCCTTTGCCTGTGGTGGTCACTCTTCTGATAGGAACGGGTCTTTCACCTGGGTGCTCGCCACGTTGTCTTCCGTCAGCATGCTCCAAAAATTGTTCGGGAGTTGGTTTTTCGATGCCGACACGGTTGAAGTAGTCCGGATTCTCGTTCGAGGCCGGTTGATTAGTTTGTTCTGCAGAACTAGATTGCTTAGTTTCGGTAGAAGAAGCAACCATTTTTCATGAAGATGTGAACGAAGGTCTGCTGACTAAAGAATCTGTCGAACAAAAACTGAGAGGCGCTGCCGACGGCTGCGTATTTAAAGGAAGATTTCTGTCTATGCCTGCCTGCAGCAATCGTGATACGAACTCGCACTGTGCATGCAATTACGCCGTGATGCGCTTTCTTTCCGAAACACACGAAATGCTACAAACAGAGACTTTCCGAGTACAAATCCACTTTTTGCTACTAAAAGTACCTCAATAGAAGTCCCAGCTCTCCAGAATTTTGGCTCGTTTTTTTGTGCCCATAAATATGGCCAGGAGCTTGTCTTCTTTGGCCGATAGCCAATATTTACCCCTCCTTCCCCCGGGGGAATTACCGGTACAACCGCAAAGAGTGAATTTAGGCTCCTGCAGGTATGCGCGCCGAGCTCGCTACTTTGTCAGCCTTGAGATGCCCATTCGACAAAGAAATGTGACTTCAACTGACATCATGTCGCACACAACCGGTACATAAGCTCCGGAGCAAGGCACTCCACAGACCACCCCACAGACATCTCCGCTTCCCCACTTTCCTCTTTGACTGGGACTCTTCAGCCTCCAAAGTGGGGCCTGTGGTTCTGGGTGGGTGTTTTCCATGATTCTGGGCGGATGCGCCTTTGTGGCGATAGTGTCCAAACGCGTCACTTTTATTGGTATAACAGGAAACGATCCCTTCATAGGCGTGTCCAATACGTGTCTCTATGCTTGCTTAGTGCGACTTCGAGCCAGACATAGCAAGCTGTGGACAACTCTACAAGGCGGTGGAACTTCTTTATTTCATGTCATGCGTGATACCAAGTCCTTTTCTCTTCTAAGGGGCGTTATTCTGAAATTGCGTTGTGTGGCTGAAAATAGGGTTTGTAGTGTACAAGACGACTGGATTGGTTTTTAGAAGGTGGTACTAATTAGCGCAGACTGAAAAAGTCGTTGAAACTCTCTGCACTTTTTTTTCTTGCTACTATTAAAGGCAAGATACATGAATCATTTGGGCGTCGTGCTACGTTTCGACAGCAAATCGTGAGCAGTGTCGACGCACGCCATTTGCCACTGGGCCTACTAACTTATCGCGAAGAAAATGGCTTATTCCGAAAACCCGAAACCGCACAGAGTGCACCAAATACAAAAATAACAATATGGGACAAAGGCTTGATTTTACACTAATAACTCGTTGCAAGCAAAGGTTATGTACTTGTGTCATCATGCCATTAGGGGTTACGTACTTTTGACGGAGAATCGGGAGTTTATTTCAGTATCAGATTTCTCAATTCAAGTATGTACGGTACTTCGGATCCTTAGGATAGTACTATTCTCTAAAAACCCTTAAGGAAGAAAGGAAAGGGAAAAAACTTTCCCTGTACGGAAGTTTTTTCCTCTTGCCACGTGAGGGATGCCTACATGGCGGATACCACGTGACAGTTTAGAAGCTCGTGCGAAACCGGGCCGCGTTTTTCCGACTTCAGCCGACTGGCCTGCTAAACAGGAATAGTCTGCATATTATAGACGGCAGCACGTATTCAATATAAGTATTGCTGAGCTCATGTGACATTATCAGCTTTGGCCACAAGGGGGCCATGAGTTGTTCTTCCTAAAGTCTAGAGTCTCTACAGAATCAGAATTCTCTAACAAAGTTGCATCCACAAGATCATAGTCTGTCGGAATTCTGGTTTACTGGCAGGAGATGGGTGTGCACAAACAACGTATGACGTTAAATGACAAAACACTCGCATCACCGCGTGCAAGAAGCGAGAAAAAGAAACGAGCCACGCAGGTGTGCCGAAAAAAAGCCTCAATAGCAACTCTCTTCGAGAATCTGCACCGCAAATTGCTTTTTTTGTCCGTCGGGTTGTCATCATCAAGCAAACCCATGCGGGTCGGTACGAAGATAACATGTTGCCGATTTATGCTATACTTGGTTTGTACGGTATGCCTTCAGATATGTGAACTACAGAGAATGTTGTCGCGATGGTGCACACTAAAAATAAACGGGTTAATAATTTTTCGAGCTGCACCGCGCGTTGAAGCTAGTTTGCTAGTTTAAAGAAAGCTTAATTACTAAAGCATATTTTCCAAAATACTCTAGGTTCAATTAGCTCGTGAATCCGTTTCTTTTTAACTCTTCGACAAGAAGTAATAGAATTTGCTTGTGACTGCTTGAGCGTACGCATTGGATTCAATCTGGGGCACTAAATATGTTTTAATTTTGCTTCTCAATGTACTCTTGTACTTGCTTTTTTACAGAAATCTATGACCAGCTAGAAGTATACTAATGCTTGATAGAATCTTAGGTTTTTCCTGCTGAACTCACAAAGGCAAATCCATGTTTTCAAAACCAATCAGGGTTTTTTTTATTATCACTGAAGATCTAGTTGTACTGTATGAATGGGTTTTTTAACATCATGTGATGAATCTAAGCGAAGTAGCAAAACCGAATGAGAATCAAGAATTTCAGGATTTTCCTCTATTTATGTTTATAGCTCTTACAGAGTATATTCCATGAAATGTGGTTTGGTCTGCTTATGAAAGTTTCATTTTTTTTGGTCAATGTTTTTATTTTTAAGCGCGATTCATGTTTCGTAATAGGAAAGCAGTACTCAGAATTATTTGAAATTAACTAACGACAAACAAAAAAAAAAAACGGACGTAGCATTTTTCAGAAACTCTCAAGCAATACAATTGACGGAAAAGACATGCTTTGAATCATACATCATGGAAGGCTTAATGTGGATGTCCATTGATGATGCTTATCGAAGCACTGAGGCGCTCATTAATGTTTTGGCTCTGAAGCTTCTGAGTATTATCAAAATAATGTGGTCTAGAAATAAAATATCGGATGGTTTGGTGCATAGAGAAGAAATTTAAACCCAGTCTCTCAGTCATTTTATTCTATCAGTCATTTTATTTTTTCACTCAGTCTCTGCAGCTGAGCTTATCAAATAGTATTGTGCCGATTACCTGGAAAAGGTAATGGCACCGCGCGCCAGCCTAAAAGCCCAACCATCATGTATGAATAATTATTAAAGTTAAATTTAGGTTGAATTTCTATCTACTATGTCGGTTACTGGATATAGATTTGATATCCTCTTTGCTTTGCACGAAGTCTGAGGCAAAAGAACATAGTGCGTTTATCATTAGGATTGCAAAGTTGCGCGAATTTAAACGTTTCATTCTTGATAGCTTCCAGCAAAATGGTATATCAAATTGATCAAGAACATTTGGCTATAAACAAAAGCTAGTGAGCGTCAGACCTGCACAGTTTGTAAAGTAGCTATAATTGATATACACCCTATTGATCAGACGTTCAGAATGATCTTGTGCTGGCTCGATAGGACAGCAGTATTTTTTCGGCATAGGCTCTTCAGCTCTCTATCCTCTCAACCATAAGTCACAAATTCTACAGATCAACCGAAGAACTTGGACAAGATCAACCGAAGAACTTGGACATGGCCTTTTTCTGCTTGGCAGTCCGTACCTGAGCCAATTCTTTGACATCTCTGAGGCCCTTCAACACGGCAGCATCGCTAGGAGAAAGAGCAAGAGCAGACTTGAACGCAGCTTCTGCGTTGTCCTCATCCTTCAAAAGAAGATATCCGGAACCCTTTCTGTACCAGGCTTTTGCCGTGGTTTTTTCGTCGGCCTGGGAGAAGGCCAAAGCCTCGTCAGCAGCGCGAACAGCCTTCTTACCATCCTTTAATTTCAACGCCACCAAAGCGGCGTTCAAGGCCAAGGATACACTCAAGGAGGTCTTCTCATTGGTGAGCTCCTCGCTCAAAGACTCGGGCGTGAAGTCGTTCAAAAAGCCAGAGCCTTTAGTGTACTTTTCGAGAGCCTTCTCCAACTTGCCCTCCTTCAAGAGCTTGGTGCCCAAGTCCTTCAAGAATTTGGCTGCGTCTAGCACAGATTGTGGCTGCGATTGGTCAATTTTATCGTCATCGGCCAACACAGCCTCGTAGATATCACCAGTGCCGTCATCAGAAACAGCAGATGCCTCAGGGACGTAGTCTGCAGGGAGCTCACCACAGTCGGCAATGACCCAGTCTTCTGTAGGCTTATCTCCGTCTCCTTTCTCGCATCGTTCGAGCTCTCTCACCACAGATTTGCCCTGGATCACCTCACCAAAAACAACGTGCTTTCCGTTCAAATGTGGCGTGGGCACGGTGGTGATGAAGAACTGGGACCCGTTTGTGTTGGGCCCAGCATTGGCCATCGATAACAAAAAGGGCTTGTCGTGAGTCAACTTGAAGTTTTCGTCTTCAAATTTGTTCCCGTAAATCGACTCGCCACCAATTCCTGTGCCGTGCGTAAAATCGCCACCTTGGCACATGAAGCTTTTGATGACACGGTGGAAGGTGCTGCCCTTGTAATGAAGAGGCTTTCCGCTCTCCGCAGAATTTCCTTTTTCACCAGTACATAAGGCTCTGAAGTTTTCGGTGGTTTTGGGAACAACGTCGTTGTAAAGCTTGAAAACAACTCTACCTTTGGGGATTCCATTGGCAGTGAGATCGAAGAAGACTTTGGACATATTGCAAATTGCTTTTTGTGACAGGCGACTTTAGTTTAGGATATTACCACTCTTGGCTACACATGGAAAGCGCTTTTCTCGGCTAGGCGTGCGGTCTTAAACAGAGCGGTGGAGACGTCGTGGGGCCGCGCGACCTGTAAATAGAACGCCATGGAACCACCATAGAAACATGGAAGAAACACCACAGAGCGTGCTACTTGATACTTGGGTCAGCACAGGAAGTTAGCCGCCTTGATAAATTAGCTTCATTGTCCGAGGCCAACATTTGTTTAAATCATATATTTCTCGTAGTTCCTGGACTGGCACAAGACGCGGAGCCATTTGCAGAGCGATGTATTTTTTTACGCCTGACACTTCTGAGAGTCTTGGTGAGCCAGTCTAGATCGACAAAGGCCCCTGTCGCAGTATTAGACCCAATTTTATCCCAATACGCTTGATATGCTTGCTGGCCTCACGCATACATACATCCAATGGCGACCTTGCGATTCCTTGGCTAACAACTCTAGATATGTGACCAGCATTCGCTGCCGTCACACACATAGTATTCATTTCAGACATTAAAAGAAGCAAAACAACTCGAAATCAGCCAATGTATTTCTCGCAATTATGATAAAGGAGACGTATGATCTGCCTTTGAGCCACGTAGCCCAGCGGATTCACAACAAACGCCCACCAGACCACACGTTCTAGAGATTCCACCGAATTTAACTGAATTCAGATTCAGATGAACATGTTCAATGCTCTGTTTGGCTAGGGGTTCCTCACTGGGTCGAAATACGCGTGAGCCATGGCCTCCTTGGCCGTGAGCCGCTGCTGGTGGTCGTATTTTAAGAGATTGTCGATAAAGTCGAGGAGCTCAGGGCTGACTAAATGCTCGTTTTTTTCGTTGATGAACCGCTGCCAGGACCGGCGGGTGTAGTAGCCCAAGTCCTCGTACTCGTCACTCAAAGTCAAGTTGTATTTGGCAAGATACGCATGGAGGTCGTCAGAACCCAAAACACGGACAATTTGCACCAACTGGTCTGTGTTGGACTTGCCGTGGAAGAACGGCTCCTTTTTGAACACGATGGACGCAAGCATGCACCCAAAAGACCACATATCAAGCGAGTAGTCATAGAACCTATAATCCACAAGAAGCTCGGGGCCCTTGAAATACCGCGACGCCACACGCACATTGTACTCTGTGCCCGCATGGTAGTACTCGGCCAAGCCCCAGTCAATGAGACGCAACTTTTTCTGCTCGTGGTCGATCATCACATTATGAGGCTTGACGTCTCTATGCATGATGCCCATCGAGTGGGAGTAGTCGAGCGCCTTGAGAAGCTCGTACATGTAGAAACGGATGTCCGAGTCCGTGAACGTCGGATACATGACGCGGAAATCGACGTTGTCCACGTGCTCGAAAATGAGCCCCGGCGTTTTCAGCTGCGGCTCCCTGACCACATCAAGCAACCCGACGATGTTGGGGCCCCCCACCAAGTTTTTTAAGATCAGGATCTCGCGCTTGATTTTCTTGCGCTTAACGGGCTTCAACACTTTAATCACGCACTTGGCCCCACTGGTCAAATCCACGCCCAAAAACACCTCGGAGTACTTTCCCCTGCCGAGCTTCTTAATGACCTCATACTGGTCCTGTGAGTTCCACTTAATGTTAATGTTCTCGTAGTCCCAGAACTCCTGGGGTTTTTCCTGCAAAACATACGGATATACTTTGGACACCGAAGCCACAGCCATGCCTGTCCTGTGTGTGGGAGGAGACGAGGGGAGCAAAGAAAAAAGAGTAAGCAAGAGAGCGAAAGCAAACACAGAGACGCACGTGCGGAGATACTTTCGAGACGGCCGGTACAGGAGTATTTTGGCGGGCGGAGATGGGGCTGGAGCTGTGCCGATTTTGTGAGGTTTCGCTTTCGTGATACATTGGTACGCGCACGCCTCACCAGAAGGGACGGACTGGACTGGACAGGGGCCCGTTTAAAAGAAGTCAGAAAGCTGGCCGGATGTGTTTTTTTGGAAGGGTTGGTACATTGGAGTTTTAGCGGTTAGTGAGGGGCAGGGTGATGATGGGCCTGTCATGCGTATAGTGAGATACGTACATCACTAGAGAAAGTGACTGGTTGAGGTAAAGGTGATATTTAAAGGTAAGTAATTTTAGGGTATTTATGTATGGAGAATGGCTTTTATACCGGTGCAAAGACAATAAGGAATGCAGCCCTGGCGTGCTTTGTTACTAGACCCTCGAACAACTAGCTGTGTGTTTTTCCTCACAATGCTGGCCAATAAGTGACTCTTTTTTTTGGCTTTATTATGGGCCAGGTTAAATCTTTTTGTTTAGTTGATGCGAGACTCTTCTCCCACTTTGTAATTGTTTGGGGTGTATTTGGATGGTTCTAGGTTGGGATTGGGTCGACTCAATGAACTAAAGTTTGACTTGCCGGCTCACACCCAAAAAGGGTCTTGAGGTTGTTCTAGGCCAGCTTGTATGTGACTCTCATTCTCACTTGACTCTGGGGACATTTAGTTCGGCTCAGAAGAGGGAGTTGAATTTCACATGATCGGTGAGGCCATTCGAAAGACACGAGACCAGGCATATGGCCTGCTTTGAAAATGAATGTAAACGGAGCTTACGGATATTAGGCTCAGACTGGAACTCTGGAATGGGAACAATGCAGGCGCTGATGGAAACACCTGAGTTCTTATACTGGCTATAAACGTTTGGTATTCTCCCGCTATGAAGCCGAGGGGATATCATTGAACATCCAAATAATTTTATTTTGATTGTCACATTATACTACGGTCTGTTTGAGAGTCAAAAGGAGTTACTCAAATATTGACTGTAATTTAGACTGGGTAATAAAAAGACTAACGAGTATCGCTCAAGATGTACCGCTGGTGAATTATGTATGTACTATCTTATCAGATGCTCGAGACTCAATAGTTCCAATTTGATTTTTTACGATCTGATTTTGAGCTGTTTCTAAACGAAACGCCGCTCTTATGCCGAAAGTAGCCTGTAGTATATCATTGTAGCTTTGGTTTTCTATACTTGAACCTGGTTACCTATGACGCCTTCTCGGGTTGGTCTTTCTGCGACTTCTCCCGTAGTTTTTTGCATTCTTAAATTGACAAGCCGATGGCGTGAGCCACTAAAACTCGCTCAGTTGATACCAAGGGGCTTTACACTGAGTGCTTTCTTTTCCACGTGCCTTTTTTCCCCATCGAGAGGTATGCTTGAGTTTAGGAATGTCTCATGCGCTTATCGATTTCTTTGAATCATCTGAATAAAGGAACAAAACACGTATTAGTGGTAAAGAATTTGAGCAGTTCCAAAATGCTTATGTAGAGTTCAATCGTACGTCAATCAGAAAACCGACCAGAGGACAGTTTTGAATGGGCTAATATGACAAGTGCGAATATCACCATGTTTGTTTTCCCGCTCAAATGATCAGGGATTTGTTCCAGGAAGCCCCATGTGACCATTGAGCCAGAGAATCTTGAACATGTATATGCCCAAACCTTTTTGACATCTTTCGGAACCATTAGAGAGAAATTTTTTTGAATTATATTTTTCACAGGAATGATCATTTTTAATTTAACTTTACTATCGATTTCACAGTTTTGTACTGACCATATTTCGATTACATTCTCTTAATTATACTTTTAATTCTCATTCTTTTCGATCCCGCGGCCAACTCTTTGGAGAACTCAACAGAAAAAAATTGGTTCCACGATTTCCAAGGTATACACTCGAAGGCGTGACGAGTCGCAGGAATACGTAACGAATATGGGCCAAGAGAACCGCCCAGGCCGTGAATAACGGTTGGGGGCGGGTCGAGCTTCGACACTTGGGGAATAGCTGGGAGCTGATTCGGGGGTTTTTTTATATATTTATATAGTTTTGCTCCTTTGATCAGAGGAATCTACGAGAAAAGAGTTTCTGGATCTTTACGCTGTTCCAATTTATTTATCCCCTTCTTCTGTTACTTTGTTTACTTTCTCCGAGCCGGCATCTGCTTTCGCCATACCTCCATGGCCTCGTTTTCTTCTTCGTGTCTGTTTTATGGTTTATTCTAAGGTGTTTGATCTATCAAATAATTCTGACTCTCTGGAGGAAGAAAACGACTTGTTTCGCAACTTCTGAAACACACATCCTGTTTGATTGACCTTCCTTTTCGATATTGTTGTATTAAGGAAGTAGTAGATGTATTTACCGGTACACATGATTAAATATACACAAGGATAGGTGTGAGGACAGCTTTTGTCTATTTGCGTGGGCTGCCCTCAATCGGAATGTTTAATTTAGTACTCTTTTGATGTAATCAATGACGTTTGCCCCAATGAGAAAGCAACTACACCGAAGCGTCCACCCTGCGGCACGAGAAGGTTCTCCGTGTGTTTACAAGCCAAAAGCCTCCTGCCATTCTTCTAATGGCAAGGGTAATACATTGCAAGAGCAATACATTTCAAGGGTAATACATTGCAAGAGCAATACATTTCAAGGGTAATACATTGCAAGAGCAATACATTTCAAGGGTAATACATTGCAAGAGCAATGCATTGCACGCACACCCATTGCAAGGACACCCATTGCATACTTTGCAAGCGAACATGGCATAGGAGGAATTCGGGACAATGCGGTTTGGGACTGCGTGACTAAGAGAGATCTTGTCACCAGACTCGTCCTCGTGGCCTTGAGTCCGAAGCCAAGCGGGAACCCAAAAGAGCCTCTGGCCCGCCTTGTTCCCCGCCTCTCATTTCCGTCCTTTATTTTGCCTCCCGTCCTGCCCGCCCCGCCCGCCTTCCTTTGGTCTTAGTGCCTGGGTATTAGTACAATACAAGGCCGCGGCTCCGTGAGCTCGTTAACTGGGCGAAAGTCGAAGACTGTTTGGAAGCTGTCTTGGAAAAAATTTGAGCAACAACATATGTCTGCACGTAAGAAGGTTCAATGAGACCGGCATCGAGGAGACGATGGACTTCAGTGTTCAAGACTTCGGCATCAGCTAGAGAATAACGTGGAAGTGGACGATATGCTCGACGTTTTGAGTCAGGATTGATACGGATGTGGTAATCGTCGGGGCATGAGGGAGGAAGCACTACACGCACAGGAGCCAGGGGGAGGGCTGGAGCATGGTTGAGAATTCTTTGGGAACATTGACGAAGGAATCCAGGACGGGAAGTGAATCGGGCTTGAAATCGAGAGCGCTAACTAGATGGTTGAGCGTAGCGATGGGTTTACCAGCTAGTTCGAAACGTTCCGAGGCTGGCAAAGAACCTTGAAGGCTACCCAGAAATCTTCACCAACAACTAAAGGTGCAACCCGCGATTCGTAGACCACAAAATCGAAAGCAGACAATCCAGAAAGTCCTGGAATAAAGAACTCAAGGAAGACAGTATGCTCAATTGAGCGTTCAGGGCCGGGCCCGAAAATGTGAAGCAGAAGGGGCCGGCCGGTGGTCTGGGGTGTCACTCCAAGGGACACGACGGGCGTCGGAATAAAGGATACATGTGACCTTTGATTCCAGTATGTCACAGAGCGGAACAACTGTGGGGCAATTACAACTGGGGAATCATAAGAGAAAGCAGCCGCCGCGGGCTCGACTTTGGAGTTAGAAACGACAGCGGCTGCTTCTGCCGGGGTGCGATTGGAACGACGGAAACGGGATCCACGGACATGGGACTGCCCCCGTGGCTTGACCAGGAATTGCAATAGCAAGACGCCACCACTGGGCATCGAGGACTTTGGAAAATTGAAAATATGAAGGACTGGTCTTTTAGAGTCCGGCAAGCACTGAAGTAATAGCTGAAGCAGACAAGGCAGACAAGAATTGGCAGGTTGACCGTACACCGCGAAATTGTGACCAGAGAGAGCGAAAAGCAACTCTATCCCGCCAGTCCTTTTCCTCGGCCGCTCGTAAAATAGCAGAGTATAACGTAAATGGGTTGAAACGGTGGCTGTGTCAGATCTGCCGGGCTAAGGAGGCAACAAACGCAGACCTGGACAGGAAATCAAGGTGAGAGAGGTTATACTCACTGGTTTCCGACCTGTTGGAGAGGTTCGTGACCGTGCACGCTGAATACTCTTGGAAGGAAAATAAAATAGGATTGAAAACGCGGCTGCAAACAGATGTGAAATCCAACTAGCAGGCCCAGTGTAAATCAAGACACACACACGCACAAATTGGTAGAGCGATCCAAGGGACTCGAAGATGAGCTCAAATGACGCAGAACGGGACTCCGCTGGTCAAGAAAGTCCAGTCCTAATTTCAAGAGCGTGGGTGAGGTTCCGAACGCTGGTTATGAGCCGGTCCAAGCCTTTAACGCACCTCCACTGACTAGCCTTCTTCTGGTAAATAAACGACGGAATAGAGTCCGTGGAAGCCGGGAGAAACGGCGGAAGACATGGCGAAGGACGAAAAACAGGAGCAAAAAAAAAAAAAGAAGCGTCAACGAACTGAGAAGCAAGACCGAGAAATAATATACACCCCTTTCAAATGTGGGTTCTACACAAGCAATGCTGAAACAACATATATGTGGACAGCTTTTGTGTCATGAATCGAGTATAACTCGTTAATGAAAGCGTCTATCAAGCTAAGAACGTGTGTTGATTTTAGAACCTATCTGCAAAGTGCTTGGTTTGAGATTAACGCTGAAGGTTCCAGTATGTGCAGGTTCAATGATATCGTGTCGAGTTATTCATGTAATATTGTTTTGGTCTCAACGAAATCAGATATATGAGACGGGTGTGCCCTCCGGTATTAGAGAAAATCGGTGATATATAGGAGCAAAAATATGTGTACGTAACGCGAACTTCCTTTAAAGACAGTTAAAGTATCGTTTGATAAACATTATTTGAACCAAAGTGTTCGCATGGGACACAATCGTGTAATGGCAGATGACCATTTGGAAAATGTATCCATACGATCGGAGCCTGTATAAGCCTTAAAAGTTTCTATAGCCCCGTTTACTCAATATTCTTCAATTTTCAAATTCCAGATTCTGCGACTTAGCCAAAACTGCTGGCTTGCAGGCTCTTAACACAATATAGCCTGAGCTTGAGTGCCCTCAACTCAGTAAAATAGAATATAAGTAGTCACAGGCACTTTAAAAATTGAGATAGGAGCTGCAATCTACAGATCCATCAAGCAACTCTTGCATTCTTTGATATTCTGAATTTTGCAGAAGCCGTCAATTTGAGAAAGGATGTTTAGCCGCCAAAAAGAACAATAAAAAGTCACTTCTAGCAGATCCACGATGAAACTTACTCTGAATCTGCGTGAGAACTCCGCTGACGCGAAACAATATATAACTTTCTTGTATATCTGTAGCGATGCAAGCCCTTAAGGGTCTTTAGTATCACTCAAAAATGTAGTAATGACAGACGCATTCATCGTTTTGACAAAGAAACCATGTATCATTCAAGTGTGGAATTAAATAGCGCAAAATAAATTATAACAATAAGCAAGTAACTGGAAAAAATTAATTCAGGGAGCCCTGGGAAATTACGTAATTGAGCCGAATAATGGTGGATCTTCGCTAGTATAGCTACAGCTCAAAAGCCCAATGCCATTGTGTCAGCAGTAGTTAGAGCTTCTTAGGGAACATCAAACGGGACAGTCTGTGAGTGACACGACTAGATCTCTTGACAAACTATCTTTTGAATTCTTTAAAATAACAACACAAGGAATCCCAACCAGATTCATCTCTTAACAGTCATGATTGGATATTTATCAAGGCTGTAAGTTTTCAAGATGATAATGGGAAACCATTTTGCTTATTGTATATTACTTAAGAAACAAATCGTTCAGATCTGAGAGAGCGAGTTTCGATCAAGCCCTACATATTGAATATAGATACGATTTGTTAGTTTCTGATACTGTCCATACGATTGTATTTAGCCTCTGAGTATATGCTTGACATGTAGGAGAAACATCATTCATTTGAAAGTTTTGAGCAAGTGGTCTGCAGTCCACATCGGTTTCAAATCACTTAATCTTTGTTAACTATTTTATTTCCGCAGATACAAGAGCCACAGTACCGAGCTAATTTTCCTAGAAAGGATTGTGCATGTTAAGACAAGAAATCAATAAGCCATTGCTGTATGGTGGGATGTGCTATAAACTTGACGTAGGAAAACTGCAACCTCCATTTCTCTTAGTCTTGCATTAAGCTGTACGTCCTTTATAAAGTATGCTGCAGAAAGGATTATGCAGGCGAGTGGCCCATTGTGCTGATCAATTTCTCTACAATGTATGTCAAGTAAAGAGCCTGTGATTTCCGATAAAAGCTTCAATATGAATTCCCGATGTAACTGTAACACATAATTAGAACTCAACGACTGGGTACAAAATTCTCCAAGTCTGTATATTCATGGCGGTAGCATGGGCTGTGTGGCGCATACGTTCTAGGCGTGGAAGACCGCACCCACCTCCTATGTACATAGAAATTGTACATGGTGATTTGACACGAGAAAGTTGTACTTGCTTACTTTACTCTTTTTACTTGAAGCCAAAGCACAAAAAGAATCTCCTGATCATGTAAGATTCATGCCCTTTTTAATTGTACGGGGGCAGTAAAGGATCATTTATCATTGACTCATTGGTTTCAACCATTTCTATTTGTTGGCAGTCACAGATTAATCAACCACATTTGGCTCTCTTCAACCGCCATCAGTCTCAGTGGTTATAAAAACAAGCCGTTTTTTTATTCAACAAAATATATGTCTTTGGATCGTAATGTTCTTAAAGTCCAGCGTTGATATTCAAGGCCGAAGCTCAATTTGAGGTACTTTCAAACCATCTAGGACAGGATCATTCAGCCCGTCTTGCTCAGTTTTTATTTCAAGAAGGAGATATCCAAATCCTATATGAGCAACATGGGATTATCTGTCGTGAACAAGCTTCTCAAGCCCTCTCTTCCCATAACGGAAAACTCATCTGGCGTTCGTTGTTTGCACAACTCTCCCATCAGCTTTTTCGAGATCAATTCTTTGAATCCTCGCTGGATATATCTTCGTTTCGACAAGGTTTTGCCGATCGTTTTGCTTACCCCTAAACTGAAGCACTTGAGCTTCGGCGCCAAGTCCGAGGAGTTTCTCTGTTTCTTGGATGCAATTAAGTATGCCACGAAGAAGGAGGTCCAAATCTCAAACACTACATTTGACCTCATTGACAACTTGCCGCTTTGTCTCGGGGCTATGCTCAACGAGTCCGAAGTGTCCTATGATCATTTGAATCGCGTTATTTCGAGTCTCAACGACACATTTGGAGCAGCAAACCTTTTGTCTTTGTCTGAAGATACTAAATCTGTGATCGAGCCGATTTTGCCCCACTGCTTGCGGCTGCTAGCGACTGACCAGATACATTCCATTCTTGGTATGTGGTACAGCTCTTATGGGGAAAAGAAAAAGCTCAAGTTCTTGTTCATGCTAGACAAAGGCAAGCGGGAGTTTCACAAAGCTGGTGTGATCGACTTTATCGCCGACAATCTAAACAGAAAGAGGCTGAGCAAGGTCACAACTCACGAGATGAAAATGATTGGGCACATGTTCCAAGTCGTATCACATGATTTCAGCCATATCGCAAAACAATTCATCCAGCAAATCGTTCTTTTGAAAGCTGAGGAATTATCCATCACAGTTGTCATAAAATCAAAACTGTTCGATAGAATGACTCTTCTTAGAAAAAGACAAGCACTTATTAAATGAGTTAAAGCCAAAGATTTATCTGATGCCAAATTATTTAATGCCTTATTACTTAAGTATTCAATTAAAGATAAAAGTTTACTTAGCACATATTTTACCAACCTGGAAAATGGTTATGACAAAAAATCAGCTACCAAAGCTAAAAGGTTATTTACCTCTATTAATAAAATTAAATAGAATGACATAGTTATATATACCTATCGTCTAAGATATATAATTCATATTTATAATTTATATAATGGTTAAAGACCAACCTATTATATACATTAGCTATATAGCTTAAGTGCTCAATTTATTATGTTTAAATTTAACTTATGAAGCAATGCTCGTGGATTGATATTGTAAATTGGAACGTCAACGTGTTCAACTTCTTCATTGCGTCAAGACTTCGCAAAGCACTATGAGAAGAGCCTGTTCTTGTTCATGGCAAGCGGGATGGACACGGAAGTACAACAACGAGAGGCGCAGATGAGGCCGCAGCCATGCGTAGTCCTGAGAGTAAGCCGTGTTTGACGACACCCAATCGACGACGGTGTGGTGTGCTTGAGCAAAGGCACGCGCATCATTGTCAGTGGCATGGCGAGGGTTTTTAGCAGGCAACGCCGCCTTCACAAGTTACACGCCCGAAGGGCCGAGGGCCGCGAGCTGGTCCAAAGGGATCTGAAGCGGGTCGCCCGCATACGGCAAGCCGCGGCCGTCGAGTGACCCGGCCGCGAGCTTGTAAATCAGCCAGCAGGTAGTACATTGCTACAAACGAAAGGGTGCCCCGGCAAGAGTGGCCCTGCGCCATATGCAGCGGCCGTTCTCTCGGGGGCAGAAGGCCACTGGCGCCTCCGGTGGCCACGGCCTCCATGCTAAGACTCGGCCTTCATGCTAAGACTCGGCCTTCATGCTAAGACTCAGCCTTCATGCTAAGGCCTTCACAAGACATAACGGCATTCCGTTCCTATTCGAGCGCCATGTGGCCGAACGCGGCGTCCAAGGCGGCCGAGTCCGGCGCCGGCGCCGCCGGCCGCGCGTCCTTCTGGCGCCCCTGCGCCGCCTTGCCCCGCGACACGCTGGCCGCCGCGGCCTTCATGGCGTCGATGCGCGGGTCCTTCTTGACGAGCTTGCGGCCGCCGCTGCCGAGCTCGTAGTTGTCCAAGAAGTCGTCGAGCATGTCCTCGAGGTCGCCCCTCTCCTCGGCCATGGAGAACTCGGCCCGCGGCGCGTCGTCCTCCGCGTGCTCGAACGTCTTGGCGAGCTGCTCGAAGCGGTCGTCGAGGAGCGTCAAGCCCTCGGAGCGGAACAACGCGCTGGACGACATGGAGAACGCCGACGTGTCGGTCATGGCGCCCTTCTTGCGGCGCAGCTTGCCGCGGGCCTTCTTCGGGCCGCCGAGCGCCGGGAGCTCGCCAAGCGTGTCCGGGGCCTCGCCGGCCGCGTCGTCGTCGTCGTCGAAGTCGTCGTCCGAGTCCCACGCGTTGGGCCGGTCTTTCTGCGCCTTCTGGAAGCGCTGGAACGCCCGTTCCCACGCATTGTCCACCACGCCCGCCAGGCCTGCGTCCGCCGGCGCCTCGCCGGCGCCGTAGGGGATGTCGAGCACCACCGGCGCGGGCGCCAGGGCCGGGTCGCCGAAGCCGGCCGAGCCGTCCGAGTCGCCCGCGTCGCTGTAGCCAGCGTCCTGGTAGTTGTCCATGTCCCACTCGTCGTAGTCGCCTGCGTCCAGGCCCTCGTCCGCCGGGCCTGACTGCAACAAGTCGGCGAAAACATCGTCGCCGGCGCCGGGCCCGTGCTCCACGTACGCGTCGTCTTCGAGTGCCTCCAACACCTCGCGCACGCGCGGGTCCATGTCCGGGTTGAGGCCCTGGAGCTCGCGCGGAATGCTCTCGAGCTCATCGTGCGCCACGGCACGCGTCGTTTGCGAGGGGAGCGCGTCGCGGACGAGGTCGTCGATGGTGCGCCGCGGCTTGGCAGGCCCGCCCGCGGCGCCGGCTGCGATGAACACGCTGTCGGGCGCCTGGCCGAGCGGCCGCAAATGCTGCATGTAGTCGTAGCTGGAGTCGTCGTAGAGGACGCCGTACAGGGCGGCCAAGCCCTCGTTGGCGCGGGGGTTTTGCGGGGCCGCCGTCCGGGCGCCCCGCTCCCGAACGCGGGCATCCAGAGCCGCCAGAGGGGGGGCGGGGGGTGTTTTTCCAGGGGTCCTGGCGGGGCCTTTCTGGCCGTGCTTGGGCCTGTCGGGCACCTCCACCAACACGTGCTGCGGCGCGTCGTTGTCGAAGTAGAGCGCGTCGTCGTGCGCGCGGTGCACGACGCTGTAGGTCTTGGCGGCCTTCTTGTCGAATTTGCGGCCCATGTGGAGAGTTTTGCGTGGGGTTGGAGAGAGATGGGCTGGAGGGAGATGGGAGCGATGGGCATCGCGGCTTGCACACAGCGCCGCGCGCCGCCGCAAAATGCGGTTGATGGGGAGGGCCTGGGACTGGGATAGCAGGTCTGGTTTGACTGGGAATGGTTGGCTGGGTTTGGTTGGCTGGGACTTGTGGTGGGTGTGAAAAAGGACTGACTGTAATTAACAATTATTGTGTCAACTAGAATCTCGGTGAGAACCAGGACTGACTGTGAGAAATGAGACTGACTGTAATTTGGAATTATTCAAAAAACTAGAAATTATTGTGAGAACTATGTCTGACTGTGAAAAAGAGACTGACTGTAATTAAAAAGTATTCAAAAAACTAGAGATTATTGTAAGCGCCAGGACTGACTGTGAACAATGCGACTGACTGTATTTAGGACTGACTGTGGAAAAGGACTGACTGTAATTAAAAATTATTCAGAAAACTAGAAACTATTGTAAGAACCAGGACTAAAGTGGGAACCAGGACTAAAAGTGGAAACCAGGACTAAAAGTGGGAACCAGGACTAAAAGTGGGAACCAGGACTGACTGTGAGAACCAGGACTGACTGTGAGAACCAGGACTGATTGGGAGGATTGGGACTGACTATGAGAGCCAGGACGTATTGTGAGAAATGAGACTGACTGTAATTTGGATTATTCAGAAAACTTAAACTGGTTGTGAGAACTATGTCTGACTGTGAAAAAGAGACAGACTGTAATTAACAATTATGGTGACAACGAGAACTTACGCGAGGACTACGGCTGACTGTGAAAATGAGACTGACTGTGACTATTATTTATTAAGAAATCTAGAAATTATTTTGAGAACTACATCTGACTGTAAAAACCAGGGCTGACTGTGAAAAAAAGACTGACTGTAATTTGGAGTTATGGTGACAACTAGAACTTACGTGAGATCTATGACTGACTGTAACTATGACTGACTGCGAGAACTGAGACTTCCTGTAACTACGACTGATTGTGAAAAATAGGACTCATTGTGAGAACTAGGGTTTTTATAAATTGGACTTTCGGTGGGAAATAGGACTGACGTCAGAACTGGCACTTACACGACTTCAGGTAAATGGGACTTACGTGAGAACTAGGACTTATTCTGGGAAATGGGACTAACTCGGGGAGATGGGACTCTCTGTAACAGGAGCTCACTGGAACTCGAATTTCTTGTAGAAACTAGGACTCACGGTGTGATCTAGGACTTATCGTGAGAACTGGGATGACTGTAGTTGCGTCTTATTGTGACAACAAGGACTTACTGTAACTAAGACATAACCAGGTCTGCTGTGAGAAGTGGAATTCCTGTGACTAGGACTGACTGCAAAAAAGAGGACCTACTGTACCTAGGACTGATTGTGAGAAATAGGACTTAGACTCTTTGTAATGAGGACTTGCGGTGAGAAATGGGACTGACAGCACTAACACGGCTTCAGGTACATAGAACTTACGTGAGAACTAAGACTTATCGTGAGAAATGGAACTACCTCAGAGAGGTGGGACACACTGTAAATGAGACTCACTGTAACTAGAATTAATTGTAGAAACTAGGACTCACTGTGTGATTTAGGAATTATTGTAGATTTAGCTCTCATTGGGAGAACTGAGATTTATTGGGACGGGACTGGGAAATGAGAACTGCAGGACTGGCTGTCGGAACTGGGAAATAATGTGACTGGGCCTGGAATTTATTGTGAGTATTAGGATTTCTTGGGAGAAATGGGACTGACTGGAACTGGGACAAACTGTGCGAAATGGCTCTTCTAGTGAGAGCTAGGACTTTCTATACCTAGTCTTTACTGTAACTAGTCCTTAATGTATCTAGTCCTTACTGTAACTAGTCCTTACTGTGACGTAACTAATTTTCACTGTAACTAGTCCTTACTGTAATTAGGACTTACTATAGCTAGTACTCTTTGCAACTACTCTTTGCTATAACTAGGCCATACTTCGGGTACTAGAACTTGCCATGGAAACCAAGACTGACTGAAAGAAGTACGACTTATTGTGAGACAAGGGCTTACGTGAAAACTGTTTCACTGTCACTAGGAATTACTGTTTGCGAAAACCTGGGCTTACTGTGAAACCTGAGGTTCCTTTGAGGTCTAGAACTGATTAAACTACGACGTTTACAAGAAGTAGGACTGACTGTTGGAACTCCGACTAGCTACAGCTTACAAACTAGAAAAACTCTCATCATGAAGGATTCAAAAAGGATTTTGAGCAAGACTAAAATTTAATTATCTTCTACGACGAGGGCTCAGAAGGTTTAAAAAGGAATTCTCTATCACAAAGGCAGATGACTTGGTAGTCAGTGGAAGTATGCTGACATCATCGAACATCTTTCTAGAAGTGATATGCAACCTAAATGTGTCAGGAAAGAATTCAAACAAAGTGGATTAAAAAATGTTATCAGTAAGGATCATATTGAATACTTTGTGAAATCTACGAGCCAGATCTAGAAATAATTTCTGAAAATCATGTGAAAATTTCTGGATATTTCATGAGAGAGAAAAGAAGTGGCCAAGGAGTGAATGAGAAACGCTGAAGGCTACCAGAAGGAAGCATCCAGTGCTGGTAGATAGTTGGTTCTTCCTACTGGAGCTAGTAAAAGCAGCTAAATCGGTGCTATAGATACATATTAAGCGGAAAGCCTCCATATCCCTGAACGTATACGAAGATGATGATGAGCTTACTGAAATTATTCTTGAGAAAAAAGAAGTTCCAAATCTGAACATCCGATTGCTTCTGTGAACAAGAAACTGGTCTCATAAAAATATCATCTATTATCACTGCTACAAAGAAGGTCACAAGAAACCACAATTTTTATTGGTTGGAAAGCTCAAGAATTAATTGAGTGTACGATGGAAGATCCAAGTGCCAATAATGAGCGACCAAAAACAGCTGACTCAATAGACAATACTATCGACGAAAAAAAATGGAGATTATGCAACCCGAATCGCAACTGCTGATAATCAACTAGCCCAAAGAAATCTTTCCATAGATTCAATTGCGTCAACAGGAAAATTGCTATTAAATCATGTTCGGTCAAGCAAAAGAAGCGGAGACAACGCAAGGCGCTACAATCTGAAAGGGCACAGGCCAATTTACAAAAAACCAAAGAGGAAGAAAGACAAAGGATTAAGCGTCATACGAACCCGAAAATTGATCCTACTCATACAGATTTAATTTATGACCAGTAGTGTTACGATAACATCTAGGTAATTGAACCTGATGAAGATATGATTACAAAGAGTTCTACTGATCCTGATAAAGATATGATTACACAAAGTTCCACTGACTCAGGAATCTTATTTACCTGATGTACCGGTTGCGTCGTGACTTCGCTCGAAGCTTGTTATGGACTCACACTCTAAGAGATGGATAACCTCATTGATTTTTATTTTGATACTTATCCATCTCAGAACAAAAGATATGGAAGGTTTCAGTAAATTGCGTCTTTTCAACGTATTTCCGCATTAGGAAAAATCTATCTAGCTTGATTAGGGGAGAAGGAAGACTATAAAAAAGTTGTGGCAGCAAATATTAATCCATGAAAGTTCTAAAATTCAGAACCAAGAGTTGCGCGGTGGAAGGCTGCTATCAAAGACGAGTGGATGTATTGGTTTTCGGATTTTTTACAGTTTAGCGAAGGATGAGGATAAGACAGTTCCGAAATCGTATAAGTAGGTATTACAACTGCCATCCAAGTTGAAGTGGCTCGGTGCAATGGACAGTGAAATCAATGTACATGAAAAAAAAAACAATTCTTTTGAGAGTTGGTAAATCTACCAATAGGAAAAAACGCGACGAGTTGTATTTGGGTATTTGCACTCAGAGACAATGGTCATATATAGCACGACCTGTGGCTTTGGGACATCATCAGACTGAAGGAATTGATTATAATATAACATTTTCTCCAGTTGTTCGCTATACCCGTTTGTCACTTTTGTTAACAAATTCTCCGAAGAAAAATACACTGCTTCGGAAATTTAAGCCGTTTTGAAAAGCTCTCCGGAGAAAGATATCTACATACGACAATACAGGGCGTTTTGTCAATTGGAAATAAAATATAATTTATAAATAGAATCAATCCATGTATACATTAAATCAATCACCGAGAGTTTGGCACGAATCTGTGAGGAGAATGATTATGCTTTTTTTTTTCAGTGAGCTGAGTCATTTTTCTTTCATAAAAAGACAAAAAGTGGAATCCTCTACATCAAGATATGCTAGTTTTTGGACCAAATGAAAGAGCAAGTAAAAAAAGGCAAAGACCTTTATCTTTAGCAAAGATCGAATGAAATACTCGGGAGTACCATAAGAGATCTTGGGATTGAGCTTGAGGATATCTTAAGGTTGTATCGAAGCTCTCGAAGATACAAGGTTTTTTGATGGCTCAGTAAGATAAATGAGGACTCCAACTAATACACTGGACAAGTTGGTACCCCTTGTTGATGGAGAGAAAAAAATAAGTTGCAAAATTTTACAGAAATACGACGAGGAAGGTTATATATGTGACATGAGTTGCCCGCCCCGATATCTTAACGTGTCTCTGTTCCTTTCAAGATTCATAGTGGACTCGTCCACACACTCAAGAGCGGCCTTTAAGGCGATACGTTACGAGTGAAGTTTCGTTGCAACTAGTCCATCAGATTCATAGAATTCCTGAGTCAGTGGAACTCTACGTATCTGACCCACATATATCATATCATCATCTGGTTCAATTACCTCGATGTTATTGCAATGCGATTGATCATAAACCAAATCTGTATAATGAGAACAACTTCTAAAATCTTATCACGCTTGATCATTTGCCTTTCTTCCTGCTTAAGTCTCTGTCTACTGGCCAGTCTCTATTTAGATTTCAACGCCTTGCGTTGTCTCCACTTACTTCTTTCAGTAGACTGTAGACTGAGCAGGTGTTAATTGCAAGTTTCCTGTTTGCGTGATTAGATCTAAGGAAGAATTTCTTTGAGCTAATTGATCATGAGTTGAATCATATACCTCTAGTTGCGACTTAGGTGGGATACTCTCCTCAATTACGTCCAGGACAGTATCATCAACTGATTTCACTGTTTCGGTTCGGTAATTATTGGCAATTAGATCTTCCACCTCATTATTAACTGACTCTTGAACTTTTTTACCAATTGTATTTTCTTCGTATATCACCATATTCTGAGGTATATTCTCTTTTGACATTGAACCTTCTAGATTAACTGCATCTTCCATAGCGGTATCTTGGGAAATCACGGGCCCTAGAGGGTTCTGCATATTTGCTAAAGCTTGATCCATTCGAATACTGGGCAGCCTTTAGTAGGAAGAGATCCTTTAGCAAATTTCTGTCCTCTCACCTGATAACAGAGGTTGGTCATCCGGAGTTGTACCTTGGTTAGCATTCTAAGATCCACCACATTGAATAGATTTCGGTATTCATCTATCGATACCTTGTGAGATTGTTGCTTTAATGGAGGTAATCCGCCAACATTTCCAACCATCCCACTGGAATATCTCTCTATTACTTTGTGGATTTGTTCACCATGTTTATCAAAGTAGAAAGTCAGACGGTCAAATACCGCTTGATCAAAATCAAAGATTGCGTTTGCTTGAGACGAAAAGAACTTTCCTGCAGCTCTACCAGGTAGTTGTCCTAGGTAAACTGTCTCCACTGCACGAGTATAAAGCTTTGATTTAGGACGATGATCTGGAATATGTGCATACACCAAACTTCCAAAGATTGAAGTAGCAAAAAACTTTGGGTTTTCTCCTCTCCACTTATCGCAATCGAAACACTTGAAGTCCAATGAACAATCTCCATACTTGTTCTCAACGCATCTGTCCAAAAGACTGTTGGCATATTCGCGTCAGCGAAAAGTGTCCTTACCTCTGTCTGAGTATCTCTTTGTTTTTTTTCTACCATTCCATTTTAATGATGGCTTCCAGGCACCGTGGTCTCATATTTTAATCCTTTATGAAACATCCACGTCCTCATGTCTTTGTCAATGAATAACCTCCCCCGACTCAATTGTGATATTATCTCCTGTCGTACTGACAGCTAAGTTTGCAAAAATATCATATATCTTACCTTCTTTCAATGAGAAGATAGATGTACCACTCTGAGGAACGTAATATACATTCGATAGTGTTCGTTCATGGCCTTTTCCGAGCTTCACCTTTATTTCTCCAGAACCAAGTGAGTACACCGGTTCGTTCTCGCCATTTACTGTTTCGAATGCAGTTGGGCCTTCTTTGTATGTCTGGAAATATGCCATGTCATTTACTACATGTGCATCACTTCCAGTGTTATTGATGAACCGTACGATGTTGAGGAAAGCATTCGATGTCTTACTTGGTACTGAGTTCTGATTTCTTAACTGAAAACAGTGTGCTTTCTTGTGACCTACCTTTTTGCAATGATGGCAGACAATCGTTTTGTCTCCACCTAGGTTCTTGCTCACATAAGTTATCTGTCTCTCAGATCTGAACCGTCTGTGTTTCTCAAGATCCACTCCAATCAATCTAATAAACTCAACTTCATCTTCGTAAGAGTTCAGAGTCACTGGGGTCTTGTCACTAATTCGGTAGTTTTCAAATACTGCACTGATTTCAGAAGCTGTGTACAGTTCCAATAAGTACATGCTAATTTCCACCAAAACTGAATGCTTCATTCTGGTCAACCTAGAGGATTTTTCATCCACTCCTTGAGAGTTTCTCATTTCCCTCATCAAGTATTCCGCAATCTTCACATGGTCTTCAGTGAATTTTTCTGGATTAGGCTGGTGTGTTTCAACAAATTGATTTATATGTTCTCGATTGATGGACGTGTTCCTCAATTTACTCAGAATCAACACGTCTTCTGACACATTCAATTTGAACATCACGTCTAAGAAGTTGTTTGACAATGACTGCATCTTTCTCCCGATTACCATATCTTGTTCCAGAGAGAGATCGAATCTCTTTTGCAAACCTTGCGGTCCTTCCTTGTAGAAAATGAAAACATTTTGGTCAAATTCAAATATTTTTCTTTCAAAGAATATTTTCCACACACTAGTACGACTCTCATCTTGGAGTATTCCGAAAGTCGATGTAAGCATCCGCCCAGCGGTCGGCTCAGGGCTCATAACCGTCTTGTATTTCTGCTTTAGTATAGGATATTCTAATTCAATGTCTTGTCCACAAGTATTTTCCAACTGGTACACTTGAGATACCGTTGCGACATGATGTACTAGAATGTTGAAATAAACCTTTATTTGGGGTAACAAAACACCACTGTAGTTCCGGCTGATCTTCTAAAAATATCTTGGAGGGAATTATGTTCCCTCTATATACTCATCGCGCTATTCGGTTTTCGGGTAAGTGGTGCGAACTTGAACGTGTTCCTTGTCACATGATTATTAGGTCCAAGAGTCAACACGCACTGCACACACTTTTTAAGCTCGTCAAGCTCCGTGAAATGTTTCCATAAGTAGGCGAAATATGCAAACTAGGGCTTATGTCAATGATCATGTGACTGGACGGCATTCCAATATCCGGAGTCACCTGGAACTAGGAGCGCGACGAGTATACAAGTGAGGGAGGTTTTTTTCTCCCCCGATATTTTAAATGACCCGTCTCAAATACGTTGGTTTTGTTTGTCACAATTGATTCTTTTTACACTATAACCCCATGGGTTACCGATTACTCAACTGTCCAAGACAAACCCTTCTGGCCAGGATATTGATCTGGGGTGTCCCGTACTCAAGCAAACGTTCAAACAGACGCGCCAAGGGGCTGTGACTTAAGAAATCATGCTTTTTTGTTCTATAAATGGCCGCGAGGACGCCCGGGAGCAGCCGGCTTGGGGCGGCCATCTAGAAGCCAGCTGGGGGAAAGTTTGGCGGGTAGCCGTCTTCAGTGTGATGGCGGTAAACGGGACGGGCGTATCACGTGACCTTCAACACACGTGACCACACCCCTTACCCTTCCGTCCCGCGAGTTGGTTCCGCACGTGACCAGACTTCTTACCCCGCATCACGTGACGTATGGTCACGTGGCCCCATTTACCTGGCACTAACCACGCCCAGGCCGCCTTACGCGTCGTGGCGGCCCTCGGAGTCCGCGAGGATCCGCGGCCAGTTGCTGGCCCACACGCACGCGGACTCGGCCGCGGCCAACGCCGCCACGCCCACCACCAACCCGGCCCACAAGCCCATGAGCCCGTGGCCCATGCGGAAGGCAAGCACGTACGCAAGGGGGAGCGCCACAGCGTAGTAGGAGACCACGTTGACGTTGGAGCCGATGCGCTGGCGGCCCTGCCCCCGCAACACGCCGGCCTGCATCACGTTGATGCCGTCGGCAAGCTGGTTGACGGCGACCAAAACAAGCACGTCGGCGCCGAGCCGCAAGACGTCGGCGTCCTCTGTGAACACCGCCACGAGCGCGTTGCGCAGCGCCAAGATCCACGCGAAGTTGACCACGGAGATGGCCACGCCGAGCACCATGGCCACACGCGTCACGAGGCGGGCCTCCGGCACCTTTCTCTTGCCCACGAAGTGGCCCACGCGCGTGCTCACGGCCACGGACACGGCAAACGGCAACTGGAACAGCAAGCTGCCCACGTTGGACGCGATGGACTGCGCGGCCAACGCCAGGGTGCCGAACGACGCCGCGAGAATGGTCATGACCTCGAAGGCCAAGTACTCGGCCTCCACCATGACCACGCCGGGGAGCGCGAGCGCAAGCATCTGCAGCCAGTTGGAGCGGGCACGTGCCCAGTCGAGCCCGCCCCAGCACTTCTTGCCGTCGACGAAAAGCACGTACAGGAGCAACAAGAGGCACGTGGCCCAGTACGAGAGCGCTGTGGCCAACGGCGCGCCCACGAAGCCCACGCCGTACGTGGGGTGCCATACGAGGAGCCAGTTGAGCACGAAGTTGAGCGGCACGGCCACGCCCAACACGTACGTGCCGGCCTGGAAGATGTGCTGCGCCTGCAAGAACCGCTTGCCAGTCTCGAACAAGAGGAGCGCGGGCGCCCCCAAGATCATCGTGCGCAAGTACTGCTGGCTCATCATGGCCAACTCGGCGTCCGGCACCATGAGCTTCAAGAGCAGCCCGGAGAACCACCAGAGCGGGCAGAGCGGGAACACGGTGAGCGCCATCATCATCAACGAGCAGCGCTGGAAGTACACGCCCACCATCGTGGGCCTGCCCGCGCCGTACGCCTGCGAGCAGAACGAGTCGAGGCACGTGGCCATGCCCTGGTACACGGAAAGACCCGTGATGTTAAACGAACATACGGCCAAGGACGCCGCGGCCAACTCGCGGGGGCCCAACCGGCCGGTGGCATAGATGGAAACCACGGACAAGAGATACTGGAGGAAGAAGGTCACGACGAGCGGGGCCAGCGACCGGGAAACGACGCCGAGCTCCTCTTTGGCGGAGATGTGCACGTGACCGCTTCGCGTGGCCACCGAGCCGTAGAGCTGGCTGTCGTGGGCGCCGGTGAGGAGCGTCTGCTCGGAGTCTATCAAGGACATGTGCAGGCCGACGGCGATTGTTGCTCGAATCCGGCGGTTTGGGGACGGCTGCTGGGTCTGGGGGCTGGCGTGTCAGGAGCTGCTTTCTTGAACAGCGGTGAAACACGGTGAAACACGGTGAAGCACGGTGAAGCACGGTGAAACAATGGGGCACAGAGATGAAACGATGGGGCACAGAGATGAAACGATGGGGCGCAGAGATGAAACGATGGGGCGCAGCGGCAGATCAGCAGAGACGGACGCGGCTGGCAACAGAAATTCGGCACGGTTACAGAGAAGAGTCGGAAGGCCAAAAACGGATAAGTACAAACGGGCCGGCCGGGCCTTATAAATGTCGCCTGGCGTGGCTCCGGCGGAATTGCGCAGCGCAAACAATTCGCTAAGCGCGCGCCGGTATCTCGCTTTGTCACATGGTATCCGCCATGTAGGCATCCCTCACGTGGCAAAAGGAAAAGACTTCCGTACAGGGAAATTTTTTTCTCTTTCCTTTTTTCTCAAGGGTTTTTAGGGAATAGTAGTATTCTAAGGATCCGAAGTACTGTACATACTTGAATTGAGAAATCTGATACTGAAAGATTAAGAGTCAAATTGAACTACTAACTGAGCGAATGAACGAACCAGGCACTTCAACGACCCCGGTGCTTACGAGCGCCCCGGAAATCGGGACTTTGTACGGAAGTGAAGTCCAGGCAGCGTTCGAGATGAATTACACATCCAACATAATGATCGCAGTCAGCATGACTGAACCTGCTAAGGACATAGAAACCATGGTCGAGAGCGTGATAAACTACTCCTTGTCCTTGCCAAAGCCTATAGAGAAGGAAATACCAACTGAGATAACCGAGGCAAAGAGATATATACTCAAAGAGCTTGAGGAATCCGAAAGGTTCAAAGTGTTATTGGCAGCAAGCAGCATGAGCTTGATGAATAAATACTTTCCAAAAATCACGGAATATAGGGACAGATTCAGAAATGGCAATAGAAAGATCGCACACGCAATGTTGAAGAACCTCCCCTATCTCGTGACGGAGAATGGATTCTCATGGCAGAAGAAGCGCGACGCTGGACACGTTTTAGCGGCACTAATTGAATCAGCCAACCTGAATGAAAAGAATATCAGAAACGACGCCTTCGACGAATTAATCGTCATATTGACGCTCATCAGGAACTGGACAGGAGAAAACGTCAGGGTCATAAAAGAAATAGTCAAACTCGCAGGGAAATACGATGAAAAATACGAGAAGAACGACATCAACCACCCACCTGCGCGGACACTCTTACCGCTCTTATTAACTGGATATCCTACCGCAGGAACGATCGACATTGATCAATGGTACCACGGAGAGGCAAATTACAAAAAATGCAAGGTTAGCTACGAAAAAATGGTAACAGACTTTGCGGACAACGTATGGCCGAAGATGCACTCTCAGGCAAAGAAGAGAGAAGCAGGCGTGTTGAACACTAAACAACGCATCTTGTTGCAAACTACGATAGAAAGCATTGGGTGCACTGAAGCCGACTTCCGAAGCGAACAACTTGGCATCGCACACCAAGGCGGGATACATGCGATACAGACAGCCGGGAACAAACAAGAAAAAACCAGGGTAAACAAGTACGCTACGAACCCAGAAAAGGTTTTAAGCATACTCATGCGAATTCTCAATGAACAACCGGAGATATGCCCAAATTGCTTACGGATTCACAAGTTAGAAGACTGCAATGCACTCGCCGATAGTCCTCGCGAAAATATGGCCGCCTACTTGATGCCCAACTACAGCTTCACAGCGAAAAACTTGATACCGAAATCAACCGTATACACCACGACCTTCATACGCAGACGGCGGGGGTACATGACGCCATCGCCGCAAACGATGAACGCGTCAGACAACATACTGACATTGTCACCCAACAGGTCAGCGACGGTGTCCACCATGCGCTTCAGACTAACCAAGACATGGTCCGGCGACACACCGACATAGTCACCAACCAGGTTCACGCACAGTTGGCGCACCATAACAACGACATTGCCCAGGCCGCACTGACTTTTTCCAACGCCCTAGTGCACGATGTGGACGGTGCCTTAAAGCGTCAACGACACGAGATGCAGTCGACTCTCCGACAAATGACCAAGCACAAGCGGCACCAACTCGACGACACTCGCCACGGTAACTCCAAGCTTTCACATTTCCAACACCAGCGTACTGAAGATGAACGATCAAATGACGCCCACCCATCCGTCCTTGATCAACAGCCTACAGTCGAAGAGCCCTACCTGATGCCACTGACACCAATCCTCCGCCCACAACTACACATTACCAATCCTGTCACCGATGTTTCCGGGGCGGCCGACGCCGACGCTTCCGGGGAGGCCCTTGTAGATGACGTTTCCGGGGAGGAAGTTTCAAATGATCAACCTCACATACAACCGATACCGACTGGTAGCGCGTTCGGAGTACGACCGCCTGGGACTAATGAAACGATAAACGTCAACGACAAGCGAAAATTACGCGACAGGAACAAAATTCGTAAACCGATACTTACACTCATTCACAAACACCATGATCAATTCGCATATACCAACTGTCTCCAGAGAA